AAATTAAAATATTAGGCCTAATAGATCTAACAATCTAGATTTTAATATTAGTAATTAAGTAGGCCTAATTAATTATCTACTAGATCTAACTAGTAAATAAATAATATTTAATATCTAGAATCTAGGACTATTTACATGTACACTACACTCTACAGACTCTACATTACAGTGATTACAAATAAAATACAAAGCACATAGATCTAGGTCTAGTTTTAATAAATTTAGCCTACATACATAGATAACTAAGATTACAAAACATACACATATATACATTATCTTATATAATTATAATGCATTCCATACAGGACCAGGTGGTGAAAAGAAATCCCATGCTCCACTGCGATTTTTAAAAACAGAAAATTATAAATAAGCCTAAATGTACCGAGCAAGTGGGGGGTGGGTGGCTAATAAAGTACAACTTGTTTAGTTTTTAGGTAAAAAGCCAACAATGTCACATTCCAATGGGGGGTGGGCAGGTATCAGACATTTGAAGAGGAGGCAGAGGCGTAGTGAGGGAGGGGGCGGGGGGGACATATGTTCCCGGGTGCTGACTTGGGGGGGGGGGGCGCCAAATTGAAAGTTTGAGGGGGGGGTGCAAATGAAAAGTTTGAGGAGGGGGTGCAAATCAAAAGTTTGACGGGGGGGTGCAAATCGAAAGTTTGTCCCCGGGCGCCAGGAAGGGTCGCTACGCCTCTGAGGGGAGGTTCAAAAAGTGTAACCACACACTTCAGTATCTTGAAATGTATTAGGCCTAAGTTTAGCCTTTTTTATTGTTTTCTAAAAAGACTGTTTTTGAAAATTGTAATATTAGGAAATACTATGTATTAATTGAGCTCTTGTAGAGGAATGGAAGTTTTTTTTTGTAAAGTTGGTGAGAGGGGAACTAGTTAAATGGCCTGTACGATTCAGTCAGCAATAACACATTCTTAAAATCATAGTAACATGATAATATAATAGATCCAGAACTACAGGCTTAAATATTATTACAGTTTTATTATCCAACAAAAACCTTGTTATTTCTTGCTGTCCCTTAATTTTGTTATAAAGATTTGCTTTTATTAATTAGCTATTATTTTCTCAAGATCACGTTTTTTGTGCTGTAGTTATTATACTCATCTGGTAGATATTTTCATTTTTTGGCTATCCAAAAGCTGTTTTTCAATCACCATTCATAAGATAGCAGTAATCTAATTTCTGTTAAAATTTGATATTTTAGTGTGTATTTCTGTAATTCCCTACACTTTAGGCCTATTCAATGCTAGCACAACAATTAGTCAAATTTCTTTGGCTTTTTAAAAAATGTGTTTATTTACTTAAAAAATTAAGAACTACAAATACATTGAATCTTAATAACAAAAGGCTGTACAAAAAACAAAGTAATAAAATCTTAAGTAACATATACGGAAAACGCAGAAGAATAAAGCCCAGATGCTTTTATATAGAAAACAGGTAGTGAGATGAGTTAAGTGTTAAGCCCAGACACGTATTGGTAGAAAATATAGATAGTAAGGTGAAATAAGCCTAGTATAGTATCCTATTTACATCTTTATAAATAAGTCTGCCCTTGTGCAATAGAAAAAGTAAGGGCCTTTTGTAAGTTTAGTATTTGTCCATTAGAATTAGATCTAATTTCCCTAAAATGTTCCTGATAATTTTTTTGATATATCTTGAGTCCACTGTGCATAGGCTGTTTGTGAATCACCTACTTCATCCTTCCCTGTCATTGAAACATATAATAAATTGTTGTATTAATCAGCATGTATAGCCATTGAATAGTCCTTACATGGCAGCATGATTAATATTAGGCTATAAAAATTACTAATAGCTACCTGTGACACTGATGCTAAGTAAATATGACCATTGTTGCTGGTTAATTACCTTCTGGTCTATAAACAAACATAATGAGTAATTGAAACCTGAATGCCTGTCTTGAGTTATTCCTTTGTTACCTAGACCTGTTTGTTCCATTTTAACATTTAGTGGAAGGTAAAAAGGAAAAGAAAAAAAAACAGAAATGTTAAACCATTATGAAAAAAGACATTTGTGTAATTCTTTTAGTTTTATTCTATATAAGCATTTTTGTTAACATTACTTTTACATTAGGTATTTTTTAAAAATGAGAAAAGAAATTGAGTTATCAAAACAGCTTCCACATAAAAAGGAAGTTTTAATCAGTCATTTTTGTCACATTTTAATTATGTATTGTTTAAATTTGATTAATTTATGTTTGTCGTTTTCAACTTGACTATAACTTTAAAAACAAACAAATTTGTATCTTAATCCTGTTGGTGTACCCTTAGAAAACGTGGGGAGAGATTTAAGTTTCACTTCCTGTTAAGTGTATTAAATTATTTTTTTTTAAAATTCAAGGCACAATATTAAATGATGGTGTTAATCACATAGCTAGCAATATTACTTAAGGTTTAATAAACCACTCTAAGAAGAAAAGAATTATCTTTTTTTTAATGTTTTAAGACAAGAGAGCTATTTTTACTTTTAGGTTTTGGAATACAAGAAATTGAATTAATTTTGTTAAAACGTGTGTTGGAGTTTGCATTGCAATGACGAAATACATCCAGCAAATAGAAGTCATTGATGCTGAAAAAAGACGAATACCAAGCAAACATTATGTAAGTTGTTTTTGTTTAGGGGTGTGGTGGGGGGGGGGGGGGGTAGTTAAATTAAACATACTGCTGGTGACATTGCTGTTATGTCAAGTAGAAATAACTGTTGGTTGTATATGTGTTTTTGGCTACAATTTCAGGTGTATGTCATCCTTGTCACATGGTCTGATGGCTCTACACTCACTGTTTACAGGCGCTACAGCCGTTTCTTTGACTTGCAGGTAACTTACCTGACCAGTCTAGTAGCTTGTGTGTGTGAGTTCAAAATAGTTTTAAATTTTGTCATGTTCTGTCAGTTTTAAGTCGTCAGTTATTACTTACCTGACTAATTTGTCAAGCTAAGGTCAAGGATGTACGCCACCAAAACTTACAGGAGATATTAACTTTTAAAAGTACATCTTTGTACAGTATACATATTTGCTAATCACAACCAACCGACTATAGATTTTTAAAAAATTTATTTACAAAGATTTCATTGCTTGCTTTACTGATGTAAAACTGTCAAAAACTATTGTTAGCATAGTAGAGATCACTGGACCACTGTTTAAAAGTTTTGAACAATGTATTTTAAACATTAGTTATAAAAAAAATTGTGTTTTACTGTTTTAGACAAATTTACTGGACAAGTACCCAATTGAAGGTGGGCTAGTCGACCCAGCAAAGAGAGTTATACCATTTTTACCAGGTACTACACAAACATCATTAAATGCCTGATTATTTACGACAATTTCTTTCATTTCATAGATGTGAAGACAATTTTTATATGTATTGATTGGTTTTCAGGTAAAATATTTTTTGGTAGAAGCCAAATTAAAGATGTTGCAATGAAACGTTTGAAAGAAATTAATTTATATTGCAAGGTAATTCATTTTTTTATTGGACAAAGCCTCATTGCTTGCCCAGTGACTTTTCAGATATTTTTTTTTTCTTTTTTGAATAAATGAGTGCAGGGTTTCTTTTAGACATTTTTTCCAGGTCGGGGTTGGGCACTTGAAACATGGGGGTGGAGACTGGTTAAAAGTATATATTTACTGTATAAATTGTTTTCTTTTTCGTGTTGGGGATGTGACCATGCTCATAGGGGGAGGATGAGTGCCTCCCAAGGAGATGCCTGAAAGAAACACTGTATGAGTGTTATTTTAGTTGAGATCAGGAGTGTGTATGAAAAGAACTTGATTTGTCTTTAGAAGTAGTTTGTATTGTTTTGTGTTTATGGAACAGCTAGGCCAGATGGTAGAGCACTCAAATGCTAACCCTAAAGTCTTGAGTTCAGATTTCAGACTTGAGTTTGTATAAAATTCTTGAATACACCCAGCTCTGTTGTGTACCTGAATCATATTAGGGGAAAATAAAAGTGGCTAGACATAGTGCTGTATCCCTTTTTATGTCATGGTCAAGAAACAGATGAACTCTACTTTATCTGCCCAAAAGGCAACTTTTTACCATGCTGTTATTCATAGAAGTAGCTTAAACATATGCAAATGTAAATTTTAAAATGTTTTTTAAATAAAAAGTGTCATTAGTTGTTGTATTTTTTCCAGAATCTAATCACACTTGAGCCAAAAATCTCTCAGTCTGATATTGTAAAAGAGTTTTTTGAGGTGGAGCCAGAGGATTTAGACCCCCCACCCTCCTGTACGGATGATGGGTGAGTCAGTTCATTTTAGAGTTTTTGGTTTTTTTTAAATTTTGTTTCCATGCTAATGGCCAATTGTGGTACTCAAGAGTTGAAGTTTTAATGACATTGTGTTATTAATGAGGTTTGAAAACTTTGTGGATTTAGTAGTATGAACAATGGTAGCTGCAGTGAGGAAAATTCAGTACATTAAAGAAGAAACAAATGATATAGTTATAACATGATACTATATAAAGACAACTGTAGTTACAAGAAATTGAGCTCATTCTCTTCATTAGTATACATCATTGTGATCATGGTAACATAGATAATATTTTGTTCTTAGTCTTGTCTAGAAAAATTTTCTTTAGTGACCTAACTAGCAAATGAAGGCAGCATATATAAAACACCATTGTTTTTTTTTTAAATCTGATTCTAGTTGAATAAGGCAGATTTCAGTACTGTGTATTAAAAGTATGCTATTACTGTTGAATCTCTATCAGATGTCCATTGTATGTTGATGGTGTTGTTTTTGGAGGGAATGAACCCATAGCCAGGTTAAGATACTTTGTCTTTTTTTTCACAAACCTTTCTAATTTCTATGCACTATGCAATGCAAAGTGTATCTGGAGAACCTATAAAAGTGTATTTATTTTTTACTAAGGTGTAGAAAATTTAGATGTAAAAACAAGTTCTCAGTTATGGCTAAAATTGTGTTCCATCTTGATGTATGAGCTTAATTTGTATTTTTCTGTAAGTGATAAGTGCTTCCCTGTAGTAAATATTGCATGGCTGACTTTATTATATTGCTTTATACAGGACTGTATAACTATACTAATAACGTGATTAAAAATGAAAGTAAATTTCTTTTCAAAGTAATACATTTGGCTACAAAGTTGTTGAGGTTGTAATTACATTTTTAAATTAATTTCAGGCTAGTTATATATAACTGAGAATAATTGTCAATTTTTATATAAATTTATTCCACTTGGTTTGGGTAAAGTATCAGGTTGTTTCAGATTAAGGTGATAACATTATTCCTCTGTTTTTACTAATGCTTAATGTTATGCTTATGGGAAACATGAAGCAAATACGAGGATGTATTTATATGCTGCTTAAAATATGTTCCTTACATTTTCTTACATAAATATGTTCAATGTTAAGTTTATAATCAGTTGTTTAAAAAAAACAGGGCCAGTTTACTTTAGTATGCTATGGCTAGATAATATGTTTAGCCCTCAGGTGTTTGGATGTAGAAAAAGTAAACAGAGAAGTGAGTATCAAAACAGCTGTCTATGTCTTCTGTATGTGTGGCAGGGGAGGTATTCATAACAGAGCTGAGTTATCCATTGTGATACATGTACATGATTTTATGAGAAGGTAGAACCCCAACATCAAGATAGAGACCATAGCTCCCAAGCTAGGGACCTTAACCGTCAAGTTAGCAGAACCCCAATCACCATTCAGAAGATTTCTCAAGCTAGCATAACCCCAAATACACAGCTAGCATAATTTAAAACATAGATAGCATAACTTATTCAATATATCTAGTTCAGCTCAATCAGTATAGCTATCATAACCTTAAAAGTATAGCTAGCATAAATCCATCAATATAGCTGGCAGAAATCCAGCAATATAGCTTGCTTAGCTCCAGCAATATGGCCAGCATAACCTAAAGAATTTTGATATCCCCATAAAGCTAGCATACCTCTGTCAATAGACCTTGCATAACCCCAACATTATAGCTAGCATATCTTCATCATTATAGCTAGCATTACCCCAAAATATAAGACCCCCAACCATTGAGCTAGTTAAATCCAAACTTCAAGTAAGCTAGCATAAGCCCAAAATATAAGACACCCAACCCTTGAGCGAGTTAAATCAACCTTTAAGCCAGCAAAACCCCTGCACTACTGTGCATGATCCCCGCCAACATATCAAACTCTACAACTGTTTCCTTTATATTTGACACCACCCTGCAGCATGATCTAATATCATAAAAAAATATAATTCCTTGTTTTTATTTTGCTTTTTCCTTTCATCATCTGATCAGGAAAAGAAAATTATCACTTACTTTTTCATTAACTAATCTGAGGTAAGCGCATGCTTCTACCCCCCAGTGTAGTGGGCAGTTGTTCTTGCTTTTTTGTTGGTGTTTCTTCACATAGGTGTTTACTTAACCCTTTGTTTCTTATTAATCAGTTTGGTGATTTCTTGCCTTATCATTTTGATTGGCGTGCTTTTTATTTTTACTTTTAATACTTTTTGCATTGAATACATGTTGTCAGTAAATGCCTAAAGTGTTAAGGATATCTTCAATTTATTGTAACCACTGTATTGATTTTATTTTTCATTACTGGACTAAAATTAATTATTAGGTTTAATGAGTGTAAGTTTAATTTATTTTAGTTATATTTTTTTTAGTATAATTTTTTTTTGGATTAATTTTATGGCGTTGTTGAGACAAATAGTGTGATAAACTAATAATTTTTTATAACACTACCATGCAGCCTCATGGTTCGTGTTGTGTATATCCAATCAATAGATTCTATTAATAGAATGTCTATAAATAGACCAGTTTGTAGTGTATGTTATGGTCGTGTATTTTCCTATTCTTGCAATAACCCTTTCAGTCCTCCATTCCTTCTGGTCAAAACAACAGTGGGCACGACATGTTCATACTGTTTTTATTGTTGTTTCAAATATTAATATTCGTAACAGTGTTTCTTCCAGAGTTTTCTCGGGGGGGGGGGGGGGGGGCGGACAGTTAAAATTATAGATTTTCTATATAAATTCTATGCCTGGAAGAAACTCTGACTCGTAACCTAACCATAATCCTAATCTAGCCCTAATCCTATACTTGCCAGCCTTACGGAGATGAATGATGGTGGTGTGATAATGAATGGGGGTGGTGTGATACTTTTGTCCTGTCTGCAGTGTTATAACTACCATGAAAAGATTTGACCTACACCCCCACCCTCCACCACCCTTCCCATTTCATCAGTTACATCAAACCTAGACCCAACATTAAAGAGAATGTTTACTTTTTCATCCGAGCATGACGAAACTCCTAAATTACACTGTTGCGAGATTCAGTGGCGGAATTTGAAAAAAAATTGGGCTACATATTAAATTATTTAAAGAGAAGCGATATGGCAAAAACTCATAGAATTGGTTTGAAGCTTTGCCTATCTTTTATACTACAACTCATATAGTTGTTTTTTTTTCTCTACACAACTGTATGAGTTAGTTACCGTAGAACAATCAATGCTGCACTAGATCTTTTTTCCCCACAAAACCACTGGTCTATCAAGGTGCACATTTTTTTTTTGGTGTCGGATTTAGGGCCCCCTAAACGGCGTCTCCCCCCCCCCCCCCCTTGCGGGGTCTGGCGAGGTATAGTAGTTCTGCCCCTACCAAGATCGACTGATACATTACCTCGTGTTTTATACACAGTTCGCATTCAAGTAAACAATCTATCACGTTTTCGTGTTTACTTGTGACGTCTATCTTGCCACATGTAGTCTATATAATAGATGGGCTCATAAAAAGAAGTAGAATCTATAACTTGAACAAAACAAATGACTGTTCTGTCATTTCCTCCAATCCTCGCTTTCCTGTTCAAGATTATAAAGTAACACGGCCTTGGTTCCCGTGAAACTTAAACACGATAACAGTTTTTTTCGACGTTTTTTTTTTTTTTTACAAATTTCAGAAAATTCCGCACGCATGTTTTTATCTCTTCCTGTTCACCAATGTCCGCTTGTAAGTCGTCAATACGAACTTCGCGTGTTGAACTTCCCGCCTTAATATTAGCCATTTAGATATTAAAATAAACTTCTGAGAAAGGCTTAATTGTTATCTTTTATCGTCGGTGTAGTGTAGATTATTTTCTTTTGATAAGTTTTTGTTTCGTTTAAACATGGACCCCGTTAATGGATGTACAATGATCCCTCTAAGCTGCAAGGCCTCGCATTAGTTGCGAATCTGCATCGCAGTCATAAGTACAATTATCATCGTAACAGGCTTTGAGAACCCAGCGCAACAAAATACACGTTGCACGCTGGTTGTATCCCCTTATAGGGATCCTAGAGTTTGTACTCTGACGCCAAGGTCAGCCAGATAAGTTACTGCAGTGGTGGAGCTAAAGGGCAACAGTTGGTGTTCTGCCCCAATAGACTATATGTATATTTATATATAGGCCTATGTATATATATATATATATATATATATATATATAGATAGATAGATAGATAGATAGATAGATAGATAGATAGATAGATAGATATATATATATAGATATATATACATGGCCTCTATTATCCTATATTCACTGTGAGTACCCCTAAAAGCGGCACCGATTTGTAACTGCGCCATTGTAGGTCATACTCAGTATAGATCTAGTAGGCCTACTTGTAGATCCAGAGTTAAGCAAACAGAGCTCACTGCACACATCAAGAGTGAAAACAAGCACTTCAGCGCCCCGTTATTGGTGGTATGGGACGTCAACAACTGTCCACTTGACCTGTCGCGGCCCGTGTTTAAAAGTTCGCGTCGTTTACCGCAGTGCCGGGTAGGGAATGCAGTAAGATGGGTGGGGGGGGGGGGGGGGTGACCTTAGTTGACCAAGTGGGTGGGGGAGGGACTAACTTATCTATATCTATATTAATCTATGTCTATCTGTCTCTCTCTCTGTATAGATAGATAGATAGATAGATAGATAGATAGATAGATAGATAGATAGATAGATAGATAGATAGATAGATAGATAGATAGATAGATAGATAGATAGATAGATAGATAGATAGATAGATAGATAGATAGATAGATTTAAATCTAGATCTTATAAAATATATAGTGTGTGGAAAGCAGAGAAGATAAATAAAACTTTATACTTTATATGACAATAGGAAACAAATCAATTTTTTTCTAAAGGGAAGCGATTATCTGGACACTCGGTGACGTATGACATGAGAAATGGCCTCATCCACTATCTGAGGCCTTGAAAGACGATACATTAAGCATGCGACATGTTGGGTTGGATATTTTATTTACGCATATGAAGTCGAACTTTGGAACCTGTTAGAATATTCGGTGCTGTTGTAATGATTTACTGGTGTTGATAAAAAAAGTGGGTCAAGTAGAGCTACTTAAAGTGCGGTTTAGTTTTTGCTACTGTACCATCACTACTGCACTGTTGGAGCTATCCCCACAGGAGCTAAGGGTGTCGGCATTCTGGGGTTCTGTCCTTACAGGATTTGGGGCACTGCCAATTCTGGGTTGAGGGCGCTATTCCTACAGGGTTGAGGGCGCTGCTATTACTGGGCGGTATGGGGGGGGGGTGGATTGAAATTAATGTTTCTGAAGAGAAACGTGTACCCACGTTTGATTTTTTTTTTAAAAGAAGAATGTTTACTTTGTCTAATCTCAGTCATTTTTTTTCTACAATTAACTCGGTTTTTTTCTTGAATTTACTTAACATTTAAATCCGCCGGCTTCTTTTAAATTCATGTTTTAACTTATCGGCATTTAGAACTAGAATTTTTTTTTTAAGTTCCGGTTATTGAAAAAATCAAAAAATAAATCCATCGTGTTACTATTGTTAGAAAATTCTGTACACAGTGATATAGTCTTTCTGGCTACTCTTTCTGGCTACTCTTTCTGGCTACTCTTTCTGGCTACTCTTTGAGTAGGGTGTTAATCAATACATTTGTATGAATCAGAGGCGTAGCGACCCTTCCCGGCGCCCGGGGACAAACTTTCGATTTGCACCCCCCTCAAGCTCTCGATTTGCACCCCCTCCCCCTCAAACTTTCGATTTGCACCCCCCTCAACCTTTCACTTTATTTTTTCCAACCCATTTTGTGTCCCGTCCCCGTCCCCCCTCGCTACGCCTCTGGTATGAATCGGCTTGAATCGTGGTATCTAAATAATCTAATAATAGGACTAGTAAAAAAACAAGCTCTTACGGTTCGTGTTGTTGGTCTAGGACGGCGTTTTTTTTAAACTTTGTGTAAACAGTGGAGGTCGAGACTTGGGGGTGTTTCCTGTATGTGGGGGTGTATTGGTTTACAGTGTTCGACAATACGTTTCCTTTCGAACCTGAAATCCAAGTGAAGTAAAGCTGTGACCTCGGCATATGAAGGGATAATGTGGCCAGCACTATGGCTCTACTTTCCCTAACGTGAGTCAGGTACCCATCAGAGCTGGGTGGACTCTGATTCATTCTACGGACTTGAATTCTAATTCGAACTCCAGACTTAAGATTCAGGCTAAGATATAAGGCTTGAGTTAGTGTAAGGTTAATAATAGGCAGTGGCGTAGCGAGGTCGGGTGTCACCCAGTTCGGCACTTAATGGTGTCACCCCCTCAGAGGCGTAGCAACTCTTCCCGGGGACAAACTTTCGATTTGCACCCCCCCCCCGAACTTTCTATTTGCACATCCCCCCCCCTCAAATTTTTCTCTATATATTTTACTATTTTTTGCCTTGGTGTCACCCGGTGCGGTCCGCACCCCCCCCCCCCCCTCGCTACGCCTCTGAGAATAGGATAAATTTTTTGCTTGATTTTGCAGCTATCTGAGGTGTTGATATCTTTACGAATGTACAAGGCAGAATTAACACATGTCTATTACAGTGCATGATATTCTTCTTTAATTTCCCGGAGAAAAAAAACACCCCTTCTTTCTAAAAGAACGCAACCAGCCCAGACATTTTCCATCGCGTTATCCAGTTACACCGTCTGTGTAGTTTTTATTCAGTTACACCGTCTGTGTGTGTAGTTTCGTCCAGTCACACCGTGTGTGTAGTTGTTTTTTTATCATCCTAATACATCGTTCACCAGAGCGCGACACGTGTAGGTGCAATTAGTAACCGTCATTGGCGTTAATTAACGTTCTTTCGCGGTACTGAAAATAACGGGCTAAAAACATATTACTGTATAGGTCGAGGGGTCGAGTAGAGGGCACCGCCTACCCGTCTCCTCCTCTCTATTATTTAATTCATTGTCACCGTTGCTAAAAATACGACAGTAACCTAATCATGATAAAGTACCTTCTTCTAGATCTGGCGTTCTGTTCCTACGCTTTTGACGACCTATTAAAATAACGGTTAAGTTCCCTAGCGAAGTAGAGTTGATCTGTTTCTGTGACCTCGGCATATAATGGTCTCGGGTGGTCTGCACTATACCCAGCCGAGTTTATTCTCCTTGAGTCAGGTACGCGTAAAAGCTGAGTGAACTCAGTCATGTCACAAGGAGGCTTAAGAGTTAGACACCGTGTTATCAAAGTATAATAATACTAAAATTATAAGGAACTAATAACTACTGAGAAGACATTGAGAGAAAACATTAATAATAGTCTTTTCTTTTTGACGTAACTATTATCTCTAGATAAAATTAAAAAGTAAAATTCCCCTTTCTATTCTGACGGCCCATGAGGCAAATGAAGTAGAGTTCCCGTGTTTCTATGACCTCGGCATACGTAATTGTAGGGACTGACAAGTTTCCCCCAGCGAACAATACACCTAAACGATATGAATTCTTCGTGCTAGTTTGTTTAGGTTTGAAGTGTTCTATACTTGAAATCTCCAGCCAAATGTCTATTTACCGCGTGTAGAGTCATACCATGCCCCGTGTGATTACAATTACATCATCGATGGCCGTGATGAACCCTCACCTGTCCTCTTCAAATTTTTATTGTGGGTCAATGAGGTCGACGAGGTCACGTGACATCTTAAGTAACGGGTTGCCAGTAGGTCAAGTGGCTGTTGTGATGAGTCACGGACAACCAAAAGTTTCTGTTTTCATCTGGTCCTAGTATAGCACAACCCTGATGTCAAACCAACGGTTTTGTAGTTGGCGTTTGTAACTCATCGAAACTAATGATAGTATTTAGAGTAGAGTCAGCTTGCTTAGGTTTTTTTTTCAACGAAAAGTGTAGTCCCCTATATGGTATGTTTATATACAAACAGTGTTTACCCCTGCGTTTGGTTTTAGTCACAGTTGTGTGCCGTGTTAGAACCTACACTTCACACTGCTCTCCCTTTGGTCTGAAGCGAATTAAGATTACAATTTTTTTTCGAACTCTCCCCCCCCCCCCCCCCACTCCCTTTATCCAACATCATTTAGATTGATGGTATTTTATTTATGTCCCAAAGGCATTCACCATCGTCTCGTTAACGATACTATCTCTAATCTTCAACCTAACCTTAGGCCAAACTCAAATGTTGAAACTATTGCTTTTGATAATTAATTAATTAATTAATTAATTTCAGTATGGCTAAAGACATTGAATCACGTTTACTTCCTACTTTCCTTAATAAATCTAATAGGATAATATCCATTAACAAGTGAGCTCGTATATTCCTGGATAAGTTCCAGGATATCCTTGTGTGTGGTTAATACTTGTACACAACTTATTATTTTTTTAACTACATATTTCGTTTAAAAACTACCCAAAGAACTAACTCATCCCGTAATGTGACGTCTGTTATGGTCCATCCCGTCATGCAGAAGCTGTGGGGGTCGGGGTTTTCTGTCCTGGTACTGAGTGTCTTTCACACTGTTTGCTAGTAAATTGTAGCACGTTAGGAAATTTCTGATTTCAAACTTAACATTTTTTTTCAAAAGTGGTGTATGAAAAAATAAATTCTGTACCTCACGGGATTTACGCCGTTTAAAAAACAAATATGAGTCATTTGATTTGTAAAGCTATAGATAATCCTCGGTTAATCCCCACCCCTGCTTGTTTGCTGTTGTTTTTGCCTGTGTAAATAATTCAGTAATTTATTTTTTTATTCAATTAGTTAATTGTGTGAATCCTACTAATTGTAGTACTGTTTTGCTTGTCTTGCTGTGTTCCCCCTCCCCTCGCAACTGCGCCATGTTCTTGCTACCGGGATAAGTATATTGAAACAGACGGGAGGGGAGGAAGGGGGATCTGAAGTGGTTAAATTTTCAGGAGATGGGGAAAGCGTCACGTGTAGACCTGCCTCTTTACAATTTATAAAATTACTCTTAGTTGTCTAGTCATTTGATGTAGCAGAGACTTATTTTTAAAAAAATTCAATTGTTAATTAAACTTTTAGTTAATTATCATTGCGCTTAGCTTTTTAAATTCAGATTAGAATTGAATGCCATTAGCGTTGCTAATTTAATATTAGAATTATTATTTTAGAAACTGAATTTTGAAATTATTTCTTTCTGTATTGGATTTAGTGTTTTCTGAGTGCCTTGTTTTTTTAATTCATCCATGTAGTGTTCGTTAATTTAATTTTAGCAGATTCAGTTATTTAACTTATAAGTTCACCTCACGTTCAAGAAACTTAAAAACTGTGCTTAAAAAGAAAGAAACAATTTAAAATCAAACCAAGATGGGGGCTGTAAATTTTATATAAATGAACGTTGTTAAATAATATCAAAATGAATTTAAACTTTTAAACGTGTACATAGGTTTGGGGAATTATTATACATAGAAGTGTAATTATAGACAAAGATCATGGAGATTTTACGCAGAACTTGCTCACCAAAGCATCTGAAACGTAACTTTCGCTTTCTCAGTAAGCTGAAGGTAGGCAAGGAGAAGCAGGTGGGTGACATTTCCAAACCCAAACGTATGCAGTGTTACCTGGCCATTGCGGACTACACAGCCCAGGCTTCAGGGGAGATCAGTCTAGAGGCTGGGACAAGGGTGGAGGTGGTGGAGAAGAGTGAAAATGGTGAGTAGAAAGTTGTTGATGTTGTTGGTGAGGTGGAGGTGGTAGAGTGAAAATGGTGAGTAGAAAGTTGTTGATGTTGTTGGTGATGGGGAGGTGGAGGTGGTAGAGTGAAAATGGTGAGTAGAAAGTTGTTGATGTTGTTGGTGATGGGGAGGTGAAGGTGGTAGAGTGAAAATGGTGAGTAGAATTTTGTTGATGTTGTTTGTGATGGGGAGGTGGAGGTGGTAGAGTGAAAATGGTGAGTAGAATTTTGTTGATGTTGTTGGTGATGGGGAGGTGGAGGTGGTAGAGTGAAAATGGTGAGTAGAAAGTTGTTGATGTTGTTGGTGATGGGGAGGTGAAGGTGGTAGAGTGAAAATGGTGAGTAGAATTTTGTTGATGTTGTTTGTGATGGGGAGGTGGAGGTGGTAGAGTGAAAATGGTGAGTAGAATTTTGTTGATGTTGTTGGTGATGGGGAGGTGGAGGTGGTAGAGTGAAAATGGTGAGTAGAAAGTTGTTGATGTTGTTGGTGATGGGGAGGTGAAGGTGGTAGAGTGAAAATGGTGAGTAGAATTTTGTTGATGTTGTTTGTGATGGGGAGGTGGAGGTGGTAGAGTGAAAATGGTGAGTAGAATTTTGTTGATGTTGTTGGTGATGGGGAGGTGGAGGTGGTAGAGTGAAAATGGTGAGTAGAAAGTTGTTGATGTTGTTGGTGATGGGGAGGTGGAGGTGGTAGAGTGAAAATGGTGAGTAGAAAGTTGTTGATGTTGTTGGTGATGGGGAGGTGAAGGTGGTAGAGTGAAAATGGTGAGTAGAATTTTGTTGATGTTGTTTGTGATGGGGAGGTGGAGGTGGTAGAGTGAAAATGGTGAGTAGAATTTTGTTGATGTTGTTGGTGATGGGGAGGTGGAGGTGGTAGAGTGAAAATGGTGAGTAGAAAGTTGTTGATGTTGTTGGTGATGGGGAGGTGAAGGTGGTAGAGTGAAAATGGTGAGTAGAATTTTGTTGATGTTGTTTGTGATGGGGAGGTGGAGGTGGTAGAGTGAAAATGGTGAGTAGAATTTTGTTGATGTTGTTGGTGATGGGGAGGTGGAGGTGGTAGAGTGAAAATGGTGAGTAGAAAGTTGTTGATGTTGTTGGTGATGGGGAGGTGAAGGTGGTAGAGTGAAAATGGTGAGTAGAATTTTGTTGATGTTGTTTGTGATGGGGAGGTGGAGGTGGTAGAGTGAAAATGGTGAGTAGAATTTTGTTGATGTTGTTGGTGATGGGGAGGTGGAGGTGGTAGAGTGAAAATGGTGAGTAGAAAGTTGTTGATGTTGTTGGTGATGGGGAGGTGGAGGTGGTAGAGTGAAAATGGTGAGTAGAATTTTGTTGATGTTGTTGGTGATGGGGAGGTGGAGGTGGTAGAGTGAAAATGGTGAGTAGAAAGTTGTTGATGTTGTGATTGAGGTTAGTGATGGGGAGGTGGAGGTGGTAGAGTGAAAATGGTGAGTAGAATGTTGTTGATGTTTTGATTGAGGTTAGTGATGGGGAGATGGTATAGGGAAAATGGTGAGTAGAAAGTTGATGTTGTGTGTGAGGTTAGTGATGGTAGAGAAATTATAACCATAGTTTCTAGAGTTATTAATTAGAGCATGACACGGTTTATTCATTGAGTTGAGAAGATATTAACTCTAAACTGACATCTCAGCATTCTAATCTGGTCACTATGACCAGTTTAAAACATTGATACACAACACATATTGACTATGACTGCTTTTACACATTGGTACATTATCATATGTTATTACCTTGACCAGTTTTACGCATAAATATATATATATATATATTAAATTTACCAGTTTTACATATTGATACTCATGTTAACTTGACCAGTTGCACACATTGATACCTATATATTGACTATGACCAATTACATACATTGATACTCATGTTGACTATGACTGCTTTTACACATAGATACACATGTTAACTTGACCAGTTGCACACATTGATACCTATATAGATTATGACCAATTACATACATTGATACTCATGTTAACTTGACCAGTTTTGCATATTGATACTCATGTTAACTTGACCAGTTTTGCATATTGATACTCATGTTAACTTGACCAGTTTAGCATATTGATACTCATGTTAACTTGACCAGTTTTACATATTGATACTCATGTTAAATTTGACTAGGATGGTGGTTTGTCAACTCTGAAGATGAACAAGGCTGGGTACCAAGCACTTACTTGGAACCAGAAGATGGCGGAGGCTCTAGTGCACATAAAGGTCCTATGGCAGAGCCAGGAAAAGGTGAGTCTTATCTTGGACATTGGTCACTAATTGGTTGTGTCATGGCCCAATTAGCAGAGCCAGGAAAAGGTGAGTTTTAATTTAACTGTCAACTAATTAGTTGTTTCATGGTCCAATTAGCCAATCCTGGAATAGGTGATTCTTATCTTGGACATTGGCCACAAATTGGTTGTGTCAATATCCTATAGCAGAGCCAGGAAAAGGTGAGTTTTATATTGGACATTGGTCACTAATTGGTTCTGTCAATATCCTATAGCAGAGCCAGGAAAAGGTGAGTCTTATATTGGACATTGGTCACTAATTGGTTCTGTCAATATCCTATAGCAGAGCCAGGAAAAGGTGAGTCTTAATTAATATGCCACTAATTGGTTGTGGTCATGTACCAGAGGTAGGAAATGGTATGTCTTAATTGGATCAGAACATTGTTTTCTAGATGATGGTACACAAGCTCTTTCAAAGAATAAATTTAGCATTGTCTAGCTAGGAATAAAAAAAAGTGGATGAAAGGACTCATGTACATTTAAAAGTAGTCTTAGTGTAGTTTCTATCTCTAGTGACTCAACTAAAATCTAATTCTCATAGCTCTAGCCTGAACATTATTCTTGCCTGTTTAATAAACTGTTACTATAATAATTGTTTTTACTTCAGTAATTAAGACAACACCCTGCTCTTGAGTTAAATATGAGTCAACTGAACAGCCCTTAAAGATTGTAGTATAAAGCTTCCTTGTTTCAATGTTTGTTCTACATTTATGTCAAAAACCCTCACCACTGCAGATTATGTACACAATTGTTTTTTCTTCTGTGCAACTGATAATGCCTAAATCCACTTGCAGATAGCCAGATGTTTTTAAAACTTTTAGATTTGAAGATTTTTTGTTGTCCAGGATGTTATAAGCCTGTATGATGAGAGGAATTAATTGTATGATTCACATGAAGAGAGGAATTTATTGAATGAGTCACCCCAGTGTGTCAGGTTCTAAGAAAAATCTAAAGTAGAGAAATAGCACGTACTAATTTGAATGGTATCCTGGGAGACATTTTTAAACAGTCTATAATACATCAATATCACAGCAGCAACATAACAAAAATACAAAATAAAATTTGACATGGTGGGCCTATCTTGTTTCAGTTAAATATACTTGTCTACATAGGTTTATTACTTGTTTGTTGAAAAGTAAATTGTATAGAATTTGTCATTTTTTTTCTTCATTTTTTTCTTGTTATTTTAGAAAAGCAATTGGCTGCAATCTTATAAATTATATGCAATTGTAATACGAATTCCATGAACTCACTTTGCAATTATTTTAGATAGATGATGACTCATCTATATTGCTTTGTGTTATAGTTTTTTCAATGCATAACCTACCAATAATCTGTGTATTATGTTCTACAGAGGAGAACTTTATATGCATAGAGGAATATAAAGCCTGTAATTCAGATGAGGTGAGCCTAGAGAAAGGTGTTGTGGTACAAGTCATACAGAAGAACATGGATGGCTGGTGGCTAGTCAGGTAGAGTCAGGGTTTATAACACCTTGGGTCACAGGGCTTTATTACATAACCAGTTCTAGCCTTCATCAGCTAAGGTGGAAGTTGAAAGTATCATCAGTACATGTCAATTAACTATATTGGTGGGTCTATTAAGCTAGTATTGCAGGGGGAAGGTTGGTTCTGAGTTGTGTAACATTGATCTACTTTGGTAAGAGGCTTAAGAATGGCAGAATGTATGATTTCTTTTTTTAAATCAAAGTAGTAGTAGTAGAAAAAAATTCTATTAGAATTAGAATTGCTCCGAGGGGAATGAGTGGAATATTGTAAAATGCTTTTAAGAAATGCTTTTAGTTTTTTGTGATAAAGGACACTGGGGTTAAAATACTGTTCCATCATTATGGACAGACCCTTATGCAAAGGATTCTGTCTTAGAATTCAAGTTCTAGATAAATTTGCTTTTTATTTTAGACTAGCGTACCCGACCCCCGCGCGTTGCCGTGGGGATAGAAGAAAGTTTGACGAAATATATTAGGATTTCACCAACGCGTTATTAATTATAATTATATGTTCTTAGACGCGTGACCTTCTTTTCTAAAAATGAGTTATTTAAATGTAAACAATGCCTGTTCTTGGATCATAAATATCAGGACACGGGTTTACCTACACTACCGCATGAAAACCTTGAGTGCACATTAATCACTCACCGAAATAATATGGTAGAACATACTTGGGTGACCGCCTCTGTGTCAGAGACGTAGAGGGGCGCTCTCAGGGCCCCCACCCTCCGATTACACTACCGCATAGGCGCGGCGTACTACCCCTGGCTCCTTAAAACTAACAGGCGCCATCGGCCAAATAGCATCCTGTTAATAATGATGCAGCTTTCGTTATTCGCTAAAGTGACACAAATGAACAGGATTTTTTTCTTTAACACGTAAAAAAATTATTTGACGTATTTTAAATATCAATGTGACTGATGCAATATGCTAGCGTTACTAATGGTCTATTATTAGATGCTCGATCTCAATTTCTGACTGAATTGTCTAATAATAGATGCTTATTGCATCATTCGCAAAGTGACGAAACTCTACAGTAGGCTCCTCAAATTCAAAAAGTTATTTTTTCATCTTTCGAAAGGTGACGAAACTGTACAGAAGGATTTACTCGCGATACAGAGTTATTTTTAGAAGCCTGTTATAGTTTTACCGCTGAATATAGTAGTACCCCTTACTCGCTATGCAATATTTTTTTGCAGAACCCTACCATTGAGTGATCTAATCATCTCCCCAAAGTTTCATGGTACACGGATGAACGGTGTGAAACCGAAATTTTATAAACCGTATATAGAGAAAAATAGCAGCCGCCCGTGGCGCCGCCCTTGCGAAACTAAAAAAGGATTTCTTTTACAGAACCCTTCCCTGAATTGTTCTAATCAACTCCCCCAAAGTCTCATGGCTATCGGATAACGGTGTCACACCAAAATCGACTTATTTTTATAAACCGTATATAGAGAAAGATCGCAACCTCCCGTGGCGCCGCCCTTGCGAAATTAAAGATGATTTTTTTACGGAACCCTTCCCTAGAGTTTTATAATGAACTCCCCAAAGTTTCATGCCTATCGGATAAACGGTGTCACTGCAATTCACTTTTATTATGTTTATATACCGTAAATAGAGAAAAATCGGACCCTCCCGTGGCGCCGCCCTTGCGAAATTAAAAATGATTTTTTTACAGAACCATTCCCTAGAGTTGTATAATGAACTCCCCAAAGTCTCATGGCTATCGGATGAACGGTGCCAAACCAAAATCGACTTTTATTTTTATATACCGTATATAAAAAAAAAAAAAATCGCGCCGTGTCGGGGCGCCACCCCTGCGAATTTGAAATATTTTTTTCGCAGAAACCTCCCCAGGAATATTCTCAACAACTTCCTAAAGTTTCATGGCGATCGTGTGAAAGGTGTCACGGCAATTCACTTTTATTATTTTTATATACCGTATATAGAGAAAAATCGCACCCTCCCGTGGCGCCGCCCTTGCAAAATTAAAAATTATTTTTTTACAGAACCCTTCCATAGAGTGGTATAATGAACTCCCCAAAGTCTCATGGCTATAGGATGAACGATGCCAAACCAAAATCGACTTTTATTTTTATATACCGTATATAGAAAAAAACAAATCGCGCCCTGTGGGGGCGCCACCCCTGCGAATTTGAAATATTTTTTTTCGCAGAAACCTCCCCAGGAATATTCTCAACAACTTCCCAAAGTTTCACGGCGATGTGATGAGAGGTGTAGTAATGCATAAAGGACACACACACACACACACAAACATACATTGCTTTTTATATATATAGATAACTAAATAAATAACAAGATATATACTAAATTTCTGGATAGATTTGTTCATCTAGTAAATATTAGAATCATTCGAGAGCTTTACTTAATTAATTTTCCCACCTGAAATTCCAGGTATAAAGGTAAAGAAGGGTACGCTCCTGGCACCGTTCTGAAAAAGGCTAGCAATGCCTACACTGTGTCATTGGTGGAGAAGTCCAGAATGAGTGGTGTAGAGATTATCAGCAGTTTACAGGATGTCAGCAACCTTCTGAACCAGAACATCAAATCCGAGGTAGGCTCAGTCATATCTGATGGTATGATTTTGTTCAGTCATATCTGATGTTCGTTCAGTCATATCTGATGTTATGATATGGTTCAGTCATATCTGATGGTATGGTTTGGTTCAGTCATATCTGATGGTATGGTCTTGTTCAGTCATATCTGAGGTTATGATTTTGTTCAGTCATATCTGAGGTATGGTCTTGTTCAGTCATATCTGATAGTATGATTTGATTCAGTCATATCTGAGGTATGGTCTTGTTTGACTAAATCATATATCATTGTTCCATAATCACATAGTGGTATCATTTTATTTCATTCATATGCTACTTGAGGTCTTGTTTTGTCTGAATTGTACTTTTTTTTATTTTTAGTCTTAGATATATTGTCTTGAAATATTTTTCCTTTTATGATTGTATCACCCGAAAGATTTCAATGTGTTTATCTCAGTTATAAGTTAAGATCTTATTTAAGAAGTTTCATATTTTATTATATTAAATAACAATATTTTAGATACATTGTCTTGTTTCAGTGATATTGGAGTTATTGTTCTTGTCTAAAATCTCAATTTTCTTCCTATACATATATTTTTTCAGCTTTAACCAACCCATAGCCAAAAAAAATAACTTCCATTAAAATTACACATCTTGTACCTCACACTAATTTACAAGTTAACTAACCGTAACTTGAAATATTTTCATGTGTTTGACAGACTGGCAAGTCAGGCCCTGCAGGAAGAAATTCACCACAGCCTGACAGTAAGGCAGCCCAGTCCAACAGGCCTTCTGTTGTTTTAAAACAAAGATCTCTAGAGAGGGGAGGTTCTCTCGTCCCCCCTCCCCGCCAGAGCTCTGTGCAGGTAGTCGCTCTAGGTTTTATCCAATAATATTTGTTTTAAATCAATACATTAAATGAGTTTTAAAAATGTAATATAGGTTTAAAAAAAACTGAAAATATTTAATAATAAATAAGAATAAGACTTGAATGTTATTTAAACACATTTATATTATCTAAAAAAAATATTTTTTTTCTCTCTGTCTAGAAAATGGAACTACCAACAACCGTCAGCAAATCCAACATCTACGTAACAGCCGAGGATTTTACAGATGGTGTTGGTGATGGCCTCACTTTTAAGAAGGGCCAGAGAGTTGAGGTCAGTTTTTTTAAACCCAGGCCATTAATTATTAGTTCATGTTGGTAAACAAATGGCTTATGATGTTATTTTTTTAACTTCCAATATAGTTTTCCTTGGACATTTTGGTAAAAAATTAATACCAATCAAGATATTTAAAAATAGACTTGTTTAAAAAAATGTTACAAAAATATTATTTTTCCACCTCATTCAGTTATATTTTTTTATATGTGTGCACTTGTTCTCAAATATATTGCATTTTGTACTTTTTAAAGAAATTTAAATGGATAAAGTCTGTTTTATTATTATCCATCATAAATTTTTAAAATTAATTTTTCAGGTGACAGAGAAGACACCAACTGGCTGGTGGTTTGTGAAAATGGGAGCGGAAGAAGGCTGGGTGCCATCATCTTATCTGGAACCTCTGTCAGAGGTTGGTGTTCAATACATCAACAGTGTCTTCTTCTTCTTCTTCGTTCTTAATTTTTAATGTTGGAAGGGATCGAGCCTTATCTGCCGGAGGGTTTGAACTCGACCACGCCTCCATCACAATTAAGGATACGTGTCAACTGGTTATGCGCCATTGAGGCTATTGACTCCGATTTCAGCCTGCTTTTCTTTTTTGATTTGCTTCCATAGCCTTTGTCCAACCAAGAACAAACTACAAGGCAGCAGTTGTTTAATTTTGGAGTTGTCTCTCCTAGAAGAGTAGCTGTCCCCAGCTAACGAGCCTCATCTGCCCGAGGGTTCGAACTCGAGACTTTTCGGTTTAGCAACCATGAGCTTTACCGACTCGACCAGGCCGATCAACACTGTAAAAAACAAGCATTTCAGCTAGCCTAAAATAACTTTATTCTTTCTCTTTAGTCTCTAGGTTGTATACAGATTTCTTGTTACAACTCACTTACTCATCTGGCTTGACGCCATATCTCTACTACACACTTTATGTGGTGTGCTTATATAGCTTACACACATAACTCATTGGCTCAACAAGTATTCCCATACAACCCTTAGATATTTGTACTGTAAATGTCATCCTTATACAATCTTAATGCAGTATATTAGGTTCTTATAAAAAGAGCTTGTCAGCAGTATAATATTATATAGTTGTTCTGTGTCTGACAAAATAGCTGTTAGAGGTTATTATGTGAAGGGCTACAATCAGGAATAGTGTCAAGATTAGAGAGCAAGGGGTTGGTAACATATTACCAGAAAAAAGCCCTTTTATACTTCCTGCCAGTGTTTTAATAGGAATTTTAAATTATAATTCATACGTGTTTGGAATCTAATTTCAATTTAAAAAGTTTACATTTATTTAGAAATGAACCAGTTTGTGTTTTGTACTGAAAACCCTTTCACTTATTTACAGGGAAACCAGTCAGGATATGAGCAGGCAACAGATGAAACAGATAGCTCACAGAATTATGTTGATTACTATGAGGATGAAGACTGGTATGAACAGCCTGAAGATCCAGAGGAAGTGGAGCAAGTTAAACAGTCCGACCCATCAGGGAAAACAGCATCAAGGCCCCTCCCACTGCCACCTGGGAAAAAACCAGACGTCCCCAGTCCCCCTGTGAAACCAGGTGAAAAAATTCAAGACCAGCCCGTCAAAGCCGGGTTTAAACTTCCTGACCCGCCTGCAAAGCCTGGTGCCAAAACTCCAAATCTGCCTGTGAAGCCAGGTCCCAAGATTCCAGATCCACCTGCTAAACCAGGTGCTAAAACTCCAGAACTGCCTTCTAAACCAGCTGCCAAGCCATCAGATTCATCCGTCAAGGCTGGCGCCAAAATGTTTGAGCCTCCTGGCAAATTTCCTGAAACATCGCTCAAGCCTGTTTCTCTGAAGCCCGTGGAGACAAACAAACCTGACGTGACTAACAAACAGCAGGGAGGGAACTCAGCTCCCTCTTCTCTAGGTTTTGCAGCAGATCTAAAGGCTAAATTTGAGGCTCGGTCAGGGAGCAACGCAGATTCCAAAACCCCTGTACAGGGAGATAATTCAAATTCATCAAAAAATGTGTTTACAGGTGCCCCTCTTGTACCTAAATCCAAACCTGTTGTTCCTGGTAAGACAGACGGAGGTTCTCTCCCTGGGGGTAACCAGCCCACACCAAAACCACCCCCTCCTGCTAAATTAAAACCAGTTGGGGGCAACATCCCAGTGCCAGCCAAACCCTCCATCACCCCCAAAACATCCGTTACACCATCACCCAAGCCTGCTCTTCCCACAAACCCACCTAAAATTGGAGCCAAATTTGAACTTAACAACAACACACCAGGTCCTACTAAATCTTCATCATCTGATCAAGGCAACGTTCAACATAAATCCGCACTATTCAGCCCCGCTAATTTAAAGCCTGCTACGGTTGAAAAACCCCAGCTGCCCAGCAAACTAAAACCGGTTGCCATGAATAGTTCCAACCCCCCTAACCGGCAACAAACTGAGGATCTTAAATCTAGTCAGGGTGTTTCCAACCTGGCCAACAGCTTAAGTGGCAAGTTAAACTTTGGCCAGAAGCCTCCAGTGAGTAGAGCAGAGGCAGGGGAAACAACACACCCGGAGCCATTGAAGAAACCTGTCGTAACCCCTGCTGTTCCTGAATCTCCTTTAGCCAAGACGTATGTGGCTATAAGCAGTTTTACAGCAGAAAATGACGGAGAGCTGGGGTTCAGTGAGGGAGATGAGGTGGAGGTGTTAGAGGTGCAAGGTGACTGGACCCGCATCCGATTCTGGGATGAGGAAGGTTGGGCACCCACGGATTACTTGCAAAAACTTTAACTTATAGTTTGGCAGTTATATGATTCAATTGGATTTTTAGTGTTAAATTGTTTGGAAGTTTTTATCTGTGCAACTGATTTAAAAACAGTGGTAAAACATTTTAAATTTTTTATCATTAACAAGTGCCAGTATAGCACCATCTGTTATTTTATACTTCATAACATTAGATAAGTTATATTAACTAATGTTAGTGATGATTTTATTATAACTAAATCCTCTTGTTAGTCAAAATTTGTTAGCAATCAAATTACAGCACTAAATCTTTTAAATGTAAAGTCAGCTGTTCCGGATTATAAAATTACATTCCTGTGTGACCTGTTTCTTGTATGCGACATTTTGTTTTTAATTATTAAGTTAATGACAATAAATCCATCCATTCAATTTGATAATACAGTGTAATCTTAAGTTAAACTGCAGCTTCATGTTTTTTTAAAGTAAAAATATAATTCTTATACTTGTAAAATATTTACCTATAATAATGACATTTTAACATGTTCTCAAAATCAAACCTCCATCATATATAAAGAATTAGTTTTACTATTACTGTTGTAGTTATTTGTAAATTATTGTGTATCATTTTAATCACTCAAATCATCAATCAATTAGCTATCAACCTTGCCAGCAACATATTTCTCTAGTCCTTCATGAAAATTAATTATTTTGTACATAAAAATTATTACCCTATGTTATCTTCTTTACTATTTAATTGTGATCAAATTTCAATGGGATTTTCTTACTTTTAATTTTGTGAAGATCATTTACACCATGTTGTGATGCTTTTTTGTGTTATATATAAGACGCTTTAACTTTGCTTGCTTTTATTGCATTGATAAATAACAAAAACTATTTCAAGTAACTACCAGTTACTGAATAACATTGATAAAATGTTTCATGAATATACATACTAGCATTTGTATAATCTGTAGTCTTACTTGATTCAAATGTTATACATGAAAGATTAGTTCATATATTTCATTCTGCTTTTACACATATTGAATGTTTAATTATGATATATTTTATATTTATATGATATATGTAGACTTTATTTATGTTGATGGAATGGTTTATTTCGGTGTTCAAAATTTTTTACCAGATATGGTAATATTGGTTTGTTTGGTTTTACACTTTTCTTTTTTTTGTTTTTCTAAATAGAGCTTTAAAAGTTTACAAATAAATGAAAATATTTTATTAATCTATAAAATAACATTTTCAATTTTGTTTTACATACTACTTTAAGCTGGATTTAATACACAGATTTCAAATTCAAATTGTTCCAAAAGTATGAAATGTAAAATAAATAAAACAAAAAAGAATGAATCAGATTTTAATTTTATAAAGGAAGCACAAGCCAAAGGTCAGTGTCTTGTTATAATAAATTGTTTATAATTGTTAGGATTGCACCCTTATTTGCATAATCAAAATTTTGAAACCCATGAGTTAATAAGCGATGTGAATTTTTTTTAGTCAGTAAAATGTTTAACCGTCTTTGACACTACTGCCTCTCAAAATTTTTATAGAAATTAAACTACATATAATTTAATATTGGGCAATGTGAGGAATTTTATTTTGATTCATGATAAATTCAATTCTTGGCAGAATTACATTTTTAGACTAATATTTCTTTTCATTGTTTCTTGTGATATAGGAGTATTTTAAGAGCAAATTGTTGTAGTTGAATTTTGCAGGTTTTAAATTGTTACAACTCAAGAAATGTTTGTACTCTTAAAGCTTATACTATACTATACCTCTCTATGTTCAAAGGTGAATAAAGTGCTATTGATTACCTGATTAAAGCTTGCAGTCCCAATATGTTTTAGGATACTGCTTAGTACTGATGGTATTTTTAATATGTAAGCCTTATTTTTTCAGTGATATACTTCTTGTATTATCCTTATTTTATCAACAACAAGAAATCATTCCTAGAAAAAGTAGCCTATAAATGTTATATTTAAAATTAATTATCAAAATTATCTGTCGTGTTAGAAATACATGGTATCTATAAACAATTAATAAAAATTACCTTTTTTCATTGTAATTAAATTTCTATATTGTGATTACATCAGCTTTATATTCTCATGTTTTTGTTACATAATGTTGCCTTACCTGATCAATCTTTCAAGGCTTTTATTCCAACTTTTGAATCATTTACCATTTAGTTAATATATTGTTTCAAAATGAATTATTTTTGAGTATGTAATTTATCTGTTAATAAAAGATTTATTAATAAACCAAACTTTTCTTAAGTTAATTTTAAAAATGTGTACATTAATCTAATGGATTGCTGGTCAACTTTCAATTGATTGACCATATTAATACTCCTTGCCAATGTTTAATACTTTACATTTGCAAACTTTCTCACACTTATGCACTCTTAAGTTTTTTTCACAAGAAAAAAAAATGTACTTAATATTCCTTATGAAAACATTTATTTGATAAAACAATTTTTAAAAAAAATCACACAATTACACCCATCCTCTTAAAGGTAATTAAATAGTGTTTAAAGCTTTTGATATAAATCAACATATTTTAGAAAATGTTTTAAATGTATAAATAACCTTAGATATGGCAAAATGATTAGATCACAAATATCACATTACATTCAAACATAGGTTCTGATTTTTTTTAAAACATGGTAATCACAAAACATTGATAACAATTTAAAAGGTACCCTATATGCCTTTATAATAATACTATTACTGTAATAGTACTCAATACATATATAACAAACAGAATATAATATTTAAAAACTATTATTCATAAAGACATTCATTTGACCCTTACAGCCCCAACCTACTTTTTACTCATTCCCTCAGCCCCAGTATTATTTTATGATTAGTTTTGCCCACTGATGTTTTTTACACAAGTCTAATAGGGTTAAAAAAAATTAAATGTAGTAATAAAAAAAAAAATAATTTAGTTTGCAACGATAAAGATTGACATGTTATGTACCATTTGAGTAAAATTGAACATATATGTAGAAAGTATAGGCACTAAGATAATTAAAAACATTAAATGCTGACCACATTAGAAATAGTTAGCCTTGATGTCTTACCAGTGTCGTGGGAATATATTTATAAATATTAATAACTAGATTTAAAGCAGACTTCCACAACTTTATGGTCTATCAACTTTTACTTAAAAAACAAAAGTAGTGTTGACTATTCCTATATCAAACAAACATACTGCCAGTTACTACGGTCTTGTGTTTGTAGACATTACCTGCAACTTGGCATGAGGGAATGGAAGAGTAAATGCTGTAAGGGTTTTAAAAAAAAATGCCAACTTCACCAATGATAATACCAATTTGTACAGTTTCAGCCCAAGTCATTAGATGTTTGTCATACAAATAAATATTGCAGTAGTGTTTATACTGGATATACTAGCGATGCATTATAGGACATAAACTGGTTAATGTAGTGGCTTAAAAATACACTAAGCCAGCATAAAAAATAGCAAGCTTGTATAATAAGTAAAGGAAAGCAGACTTTTACTGTGTGCTATTAGAGTACCCTTTTAAGACATCAACTATTTGGCTGTAGAACACCATAACCATTGACATGATCATGTCAAAAAAACCACTGGTGTCACCCAAGTAGAAGAAAACCTGACAGATCACAAACACTAACAAGAAATGCAAAAATCTCTTAAAATAGTGACTATCCACAACATGGCCGATACCCCTGTAATGCTTCACCACATTCAAAGTTTTAGGATTAACAGACAAACAAATACTTTTCTTGCACATTGTTCCCAAGTTACCATAATAAAGCAGTTTTCTGTTAACACCCATGTTAGCATCTACTAAATGAGAGCTATCTGATGGCCGAAACTGAGTATAATCAACATGAACATGATTGGATGAAAACATTTTACGGGCTGCTTCTAACTTCAGTAAATAGTCTTTGTACGTGTTAATTACCTCAAGACAAATGTCATCATCTTGAAGATCCAGTAAAAACGCCATGCCACGTTCCACACGCTGCATGTATAATTTAAAGTCTTTTAAAGCATTGTCAATTTTCTCCAGTTGCATCTCCTCCGAGCTCAAGATTTCCTTTTCCAGCATACTTTTCTTGTTCATGATTAAATTACAGGCTTTGTGAGCTGCGGCATCCAGCGCAAGCAAGGACCCATTTGCAAGTTTAACACACTCCTCCCTGATGTCTTGAAAAAATTCTGCAGTTTTCATTGCATTTCTTTTCACCACAGTAAGAGCATCTACTTCCGACTGCAAGTAAGTCTTTGATTCTTTAAGTTTTGTGTTCAAAGGGATGATCTTATGCTTCTTATGGCTGTGAAATGAACAGCTGATGCAGATGGCTTTGTGGCAGCTGGTGCAGAAAAGCTGCAAGATTTCTTCTGTGTGTTCTTCACATGCCACGTTGGACATCAACTGACAGCTATTACTGTTTGTTGTCTCAATGCGCAATATCTTTGGTGGATCTGTATGAGTTTCCAAGCGATGAGCATGGATACAAAATCGACAAATATCCACATCGCAGTCAATACACCTAAACTGTGAGGTGAGCCAATCTCTCTTGCAAATATGGCATATTCCAGAGTAGCCTGAAAAAACAGTTAAGATAAAAAGTAATCTTCGTAAGTAAGAAGAATAATAAATTAATAGTTGAATACCTAGAATGTTAAGACAAATTAATTAGAACCTAGTTATAATTAGAAAAGAAGTAGGGAAGATTACAATGTTTCATTACAAATTTTTTTATTTAATTTATCCTAAACTCAGTTTTGACCCAAAACCAAAGCATATTAAAGTAAGAAAATTGAATATTTTGCTAATAGTTCATCCAATTTTCGTGCTTAATAAACAGTTATTTATTAAGATACGAATTTTTCTTCTTGCCCTACTAAGCACAATTGTTTGATTCCTAACAAGTTCACTACATTATAATGTGTTAACTAGTAATTGATATGCACATGTTCTTGTTTCACCTTTCTATAGGCTAATCCTATTATGCTGATGCTCAAATGGCAAAAATCAGTATATATAAAGTAATTGATACAAATGGGAGTCTTATTGATAATTCGATAAGAGGATATTTATATTGAATTTATTTCTTTAGTTTAAAAATAAACGACAAATTTGACACATTACATACTTGTTGCGCCAAGTTCCTCTTGCAAGCTGGTGATGTAAAAATTGATTGGAAGCTCATCTATACCTCCCCTTGGTACACAAACATCTGCTCGACACTGTGGGCACTTGAAGAGTCTACCAGAGACTGAAGATGACTGGACAACATTGAAAATACAATCATAGCACAGAGTATGGTGACATGGAAGTATACGGGGATCTTTGAACTCATCCATGCAAACAGAACACTGGAGCATTCGCTCGCGTAGCCGCTCAACCTTATCGGTATCCATCTGTAAAAATTCATTAAATTAATTACAAAGTTTGGTTTAAAAACATCATACAGTAATAATTTTCAAGTTTCAACACAATATTTGATCATAGACCTACTAATAGTACCTAGTTAATAATAATAAACCTAATAGGCCTACTTTCTGGAGTGTTGGTATTAATATTAGTAATTAGTATTAGTATTACTGATGTCCTTCTTTCTTCTTCTTCATTTTTAAATTAAATTATAGTGTTGGAAGGGATTCCCTCCAACACAATTAACTTTTAAGTATTTAGCGTCAACTTATGTGCCATATACTGGGTATATACTATAGGCCATTGATTTCTGCCTTTTCTTTTTGGATTTGCTTCCATAGCTTTTTGTCCAACGAAGAACAAACTAGGATTACACAGCAGCAGTTATTTGAATTAGGAATTGGTTCTCCTAAAAGAGTGGCTGTCCCCAGCCTCATCTGCTCGGGGGTTCGGACTCAAGACTTTTTGGTTACCATGTAGATCTTGTTATGACATGTAAAATCCGGGGGTCTCATTCACTCATTCAGCTAGGCCTCTAGATCTAGAATCTAGCCTAGGAGGCAGTTTCTAGACCTCTGTTTAATGATTAATGTCTAGCACATTAAAAACTACAATAAGAGGCCCCTATAAGATAATAAGAGGGGATGGGATGACAACACTTGAAATATCTCATTTATTTTGGGGGGGGGGGGAGGGGCATTCTTCTTTCCCCCCCCCCCCCCCCCCCCCATCTCATGATCTCCCCTCGAAGAGATGCACGGAAGATTAAGAAACGGTAACTAACTACTAACGTAACTAGATCTAGATCTACTACTAGATCTACTAGATTTCTACTACTACTAACAAGTATCAAGTAGAATCTAGATCTAGATCTTAATCTAGAATCTAGATCTAGATTATCTAGATCTAGACTCTAGAGTATTCTAGAGTCTAGATCTAAATTTTTTATGTTGTAAATATGTACCGCATAGCCTAGACAGGATTCAAACAACTGATGACTCAACCGAAAAATGCTTTTGTTGGAGTTTTCTTTAGTGGTTAACGATGAAAAATGCTCGCTCAAAAAATTTAAAAATAACGCTGTCTAAATCTGTTATTCTAAATACAGAACATCACCGAAAGATACCACGTAGATCTAGTAAAATGTCAGCCTCAATTTATTTAAGGAAGTGGCTATTAGGACCCGGGTCCCAATAGCCACGGCCGCTATAGGGACCCGGCATTATGCTCGTTAAGCATTTGTACAACCTGTATTAAAATTACACCTTTTATATTTATTTGATTTTTCTTGTGGATTTGCTAGTATTTTGTTGTCTTTTATTGTAATTAGTTATGCGGATTATCTAGCATTAGTTCTTGTGTTGCTATTTCTAAATACCCTATATTTAGCTGTATATACAAAATCATTAAATACATAATTAATGTAAGACATCGTGGTCGAGTGGAGAACGCAGTACCTCCCGAATCTCGATCAGGTAAGGGATCGAATCCTATCAAAGCTCTCGATTTTTCGTGAAGTAAGTGTTTTTATCTAAGTTTTACAATTTGAGTTATTTGCGTGTCTTTTTTTAGTTTTTTTTTTAAAATAGATTTTTTTCCTAGATTTAGGTTTTTAAACACGTCAATTATAAACATCGTTGCTCCATTGATCGCCCGCTCACGTTTTCTGGTCAGCGCAAGAAAAATACCGACACGGTCTAGCCATGGTCACTGCGAGTTCACTTTGGTTTAGATGTGAATTATGTAGGCGTATAGCATACGTCATAGCAAGACCAATGCTATGCGCTTGTCGAGATTAGTCGTCGTTGTAGCCCCCCCCCCCTCCCAGCCTAGCAAGAGGGGAAAAAAGAATTTGGGGTCATTGTGAGTTCAAATGTTACATATTGCTTCTATTAAAGCGTACTACAACGGATAGACCTATGAAATCAAATCACGTTTAACAGAAGAAAAAATAAATAAAACACGTTTTTACATGCGCGCTCAACATTCGCTCGGCCATATAGAAGTTCATACCATAGGACATAATTACGTTGTAGACCTAATGATACCCGCTCATCAAAACATTTGTCAGTAATGATATCGGGTATTTAAAGCAAGATCTCATCAATATATAATATATCATTTACAATTACAAGAAAAAAAATCACAACAGAAAAGATACATTCTGCATCTTAAAAGAATTTTTGTATAACTAAATCTAAACAATTCTATTGGCTGGTCCCAATAGCGGCCGAGGCTATTAGGACCCGGGTCCCAATAGCGGCCGAGGCTATTGGGACCCGGGTCCGAATAGATGCATCCTTTATTTAATGTATCTAAATCTAGATCTACACGCACATTTGATTAATAATAATAATATCAATACATGTTCTAATAATCTTTATAATAATAGGCCTAGTATTTAACATTTGTGAAGCAGGGCATGCGTTGTTGTTTTTTTATTAAAAAATAGCAATTGTCTATAATCTTATGGTAAATTATCATATAGATAGATAGTTCCCAGACAAAATTGCATCGTATCATAAATTTTATGCATATTAATGATTTACTTAAAATCTTTAATATTCGGCACCAATTTGAGCCTATTATTCAAAGAAATAGAACTCAAACGGCAAGTTTAATTGACATGTCCTACCAGTTGCTTTCATAGTGCCATAGAGTCTAACATGGGTGCCTTACACAGCTCTTTTAATGAATAAATATGGTAGGTTTACTTTTCATTAGTCTAGATCTAGATATTAACAGTTTCTTTCATGCATCTTTCTTTCCAACCAAAAAATAAAAGCACGTCCTATACTTTAACTAGTATATTTGCTCCTCCTCTCAACCCGTCAAATTATTTTTAGTGCTCCCCCTCCCAGGAGAACGAGGCAGATTCAACAATTGTGCATTTATTTTCTTCAATTAAAGTATCTGCTTTTTTTATCTGGTGATGATAAACTGTCCAGAATGTCTTGTTTTCAGTCGTAATCAGATAGAATTTTAAATTAGTTTTAAATTATTTTTCCCAATAAACACAATTATGGACATTTTTGTGGTGCCCTGAACATCTCACTTTATATTATAATATTATTTTTCACAGCTTTAACTGTTAAAAACCAGTTTTGAATTCTCAATGTTTTCAAGCAATACATGACTTGTAGGGCCTACCGGAGTTCTGTTATTTCACATGTGCTTTTAAAACAGAAGGTACAACACTAGTTTAATATCAACTAGATCTATATGTATATGAAAATATTATACAACTGTTTTATTGTGGAACAGATCATTCCACAAACGCATCAAACTTTACAAAGTCTAATGAGTAGAATTTTTTTAAACATGAGCTGGTAGGCAAGATAAGTTTAACAGTACAATAAAAGTAAGTGAAACAATGTTAGATATTTAAAGTATGTTTTTATTATTAGACAACTTTTACAAGCAGTTTTAATTTGATTTCACAAAGCTTACACCTGACACCATATTATTAAAGAAATCTGGTTAAGTAGCAAACAAATCAAGGCCACTCAGACAAATGGTGGACCACAAATCTTCACAGAAGTTGTTTTATATCGCTCTCCAATGCACTAAATCCAGTGTTAAGATTTTTAGCACATTTATGTATTGACGCTCTATATAATTTAAATTATTTATTTGATAACAAGATTTCACAAGAAATAGTTTAATCTTTTGTTTTTTATTTATTCAACAATTAGAATCTATATGTAATTATGAAATTGTTGTAACATTTACCACTGTGGAATGTCTAAGCATAGAAACAAGTTATAACCTTTCTAGCGGCTGGATGTCATATGTTTTTGCTATATAATCCTGAAAAGAAATTTAATGTTTAGTATATAGGGGTTATAATTAATTTACATTACTTATTACAGCATTAATAATTTTCTTTGTGAAAACCAGTTTTTTTTTTAAAACATAATTGATATGAAGGCCTTAAACCAGTTCCTTATTTAGAATTAAAAACTGAATCATATTACATAAATTACAGAGATTACTTACTGCAAATTCAATCTGTTTTGAATGATAAGGAATGCCTCCTAATTTAGTGCAAAGTTCAATATGCTGATTTTCTGGGTCACCAGGAACTAAAATTTCAGATTCACCTTCAGCCTAATAAGAAATATACTGGTGTATTGCTTCAAATTCTTTTGTATGGAAAAATTAATGTAAAAAATTCAGATTAGAAGATTGTAAATGGTATAAAAAATAGAACATATTTTTACTGGTTCTTGGTCTTTACACTGATGAATCAAACTGGATAATCTGTCTTCAAAGCCAGGCGCAAAAGCTTTTGGATCAATAGCAACATAGCATTGTCCCTGTAATATTGTTTTAATAAAAAAAATTGTTATAAGTTTTCCTTGCAATTCTTTAATGGATAACATTAATTAAACTTTTTAAATACATATCTTACAAGATCAGCTTCTGAGCTATGCTCAGACCACACTTTGAGATTAGATCCAAAATTGGAACCACTCAAAATACCACAGAATAATTCCACCATCATTCCAAGCCCATAGCCTTTGTAACCACCTGTTGATTAGTGTCAAATTTAATTTTAACAACACAATGGATAATAAACCAATAAACAAACTCCTAACATAAGATCATTCACTTGTGCATTTGTCTGGTATTAATATCAGTTTGCCTAACTGATAAAAAAATTCTTGTGAAATTTATATCAATGAATTTGTTATTGTTTTCATAAGAATTGGAAACAAGTATTAAGATAAAATTATAAATACATACATACTTGTTTCTTCTAGGCCTCCCAATGGACAAAGCCCCCCATGATAGAGAGCTTCCTCTGCATCTGTACAAGGCTAAGCACACACAAAAATTCTTAGAGTATTTACAATTAAAAACCTGATGTTAAGACATTACAACCCATAATGTTAAGTTCTCTATCAATACTAATTACTATAATGATTACCTTTCCATTTCTGTCCAACGCCCATCCTATAGGAATATTTTGGCCTAAGCGTTTTTTTATTTCAACCTAAAATAAAAGTATTAAATGCAAAAACATTATTTGCCTCACCAATTCTAAAAAAAACAATTTAAAAAACAAAGCCTTATATTGGTAAAAATTGAAAGTTAACAAAGGTTTTGACCACTTTTTTGGCAGTGGTGACCAGCAAGTTATATTGAGTGTGTTTGATCAGTAAATTAAAGTTCACTTAGTAATAACCCAAAGAAAACTATTCTACAATTTAAAATATGCAATATTTACAGATCACATGATCCTACCTTGCCTAGGGCAACACTTGTTGTTGCCATATCAAGAACAAACTCTTCTCCATTATTACCTTTAGCTGCCACTGAGATAGGGTTTGTTCCCAAAGTATACTATAATTGAAGAATGAATTAATGCTAATGTTAATTTCTTTTCTTAAGTTTTATTTTTAAAAATGAAATACATCCTTGATCTCATTATAATTCAACCATTATTTTCAATTTTTGTACATTAAAAAGTTAAACTAGATATTGATATAGACATTATTTTTTGAATTTATCTAATATTTTTTCCATGTTTAATAAGTTAACTTTAGATATACTTTTTTGGCTCTAGTTGGAATCATCATAGGAGAAGTGTTGCAGAAAGCCATTCCCTGTATGAGAAAAGATGTGTCTAAATTTAATTATTTCCAGCATTTCAAAGCTATATTTCTGCTACCTATGATCCTAATCCTGATCATAATCCTAACATTATTAGTGGCACTGAGAGAGAAAAAAAACTATGAGCCTAATAGGAAAATTTATAATAAGTGCTTTTCAATTTTATTATGAATTAGCATAGCTTTTTATTAAGTAATGATGGTTACGCTTGAAAGCTTTTTAATGTGTCAATAATTCCACAGATGTTGTACAAATGTTGTCCATTACTTACAATAAGTCCTTGGCTCATTGCTCTCATACTGTACCAGCCAGCGATTCCAAAATGATTAGATCCTTTAAAATGTAAAATATATTTAGCCGATATAGGAATTAATGTTTTATGCTTAAATGTTCAAATTAAGACTATCAAATTGCTGCAGTATAATGCTTTATTAATACATGATGCAAAAATAAGTAATATTAAAACTAAGGATCGTCTTCAGTTGCAAACATGTACATATAATATAATGCACTTCTTGTGTTACTGTATATTCAAGGGATAGTAAGGAAATTCACCTTTTTGTTGGCAACAGGAATGCATAACCAAACATTCCCAGACATTTTTCCCTTCCATGACTTTTGTCATGGAATTATTATGGCATGGCTGTATTATGAAGCTACTCTATGGGTCAGGACTTTAGCTATGATCAAGACTTAATCAAATTATTGACGCTCTCAGTCTCAGTTTTAAAATAAATAATTTAAACTGTACATACTTTTCGCACATACCCAACCAATGCCAATATTCTTCGCTTTTTCAATAGCAAGATCAATGCAGTATTTTCCAACTGAAGGACCTGGATTGAAATTAGAAAATATCATGGTAAATTAAAGTAAATTAAAAGAAATATTTTGATACTTTCTTTATGTTTAATCTAGTAGAATAAGAATAACAATTATTCTTGATGTAACATACCTAAACAGTTGTTGCCATCCACAAGAGCTGTGGCTGGAGTTTGCTGAATTACTTCTGGTTCTTTGTCTACACAAATGTGGCCATTCTTTAAGTCTTGCATGTAGAATTCTGGAAAACATAAAATTAAAAAATGTTCTACTTTTAACTCTGTTTAAATATTAAAATGTCACTTAACGTTATAAGGTATAAGTGGTTGATTAAAAACTGTCCCATTGTTGCATTCTGTAAAAATATATGGGCACAATCCTTACTCAACCTCAAAATCAAACTGTAGGAATCTAGGCAATGTCACACTTTTTCCAACAAATTTTTACATAAACATCTCAATCATTACATAAAACAAATATAAACAACCTTTATAGCAGCCAAAATAAGAAAATAAACTAATTTGTTTTCTTTCATAAAAAAATAGATAGACTTGTATTGTCATCGAAGTGGAACATATCTTGAAAGTTAGAACCTAATCATTGCATTAGAAGTGAGTCAAAATTGAGTTATAAGATTTGCCACAAGCCCACAAACAAACAGATGTTGTGAACCAATTAAAAGCTTTGTAATAAAATAACAAAAACTGAGACATCCTTCCTAAAATTATGTCTACTTTAAACAATGATTTCTTCTTTCATACTAACTGAGAAGTTTCAGGTTTAAGTATAGGCCAATTCATAATTATTTTTTTTTTGCTACAATTTACAAAAAACCTTTAAAACATGCAAAACTGAAGCAAACTTTAGATTCAAACATTAGTAGTTAAAGTTTGACAGCACACTTTTTCTTTACCTCACCTCTCCCTTGTCACACATCAGTATATACCTAACACCTTCCACAAGAGTATGACATCAGTTATTTTAACTCATTTGTCTACCTAACCTTCTGACTTAACAAAAGAATAACAAAAGTCATCCCAAGTCAAATGTGAAAAATGTAACAGTCACCAAGACGATTCATTCCATGGCTGTAGTGCCCTCTATGATCGGCTGCAACAATAAGCTCCGCTAAATTTTCAGCATGCTCAGCTTTAGCTCCAACCTTCTCCAAGCATCGTATGGTGAATGCCTTTAAGCTGTTCAGTGGTACTATGATTTCTTTATCACTTGACATTTTCTCCTAGCTTGTTCTAGAAGTCAACTGAAACACAGCTTGATAGATTATAATTAAGATATACACACAGAGCAGCAATTTCTATACCCACTCTTCATCAGACATTAATGGCTGTGGCTTGCCTTTACTTTTCAGGAAGTAACCTATTTCCTTTCTTAACTTAAATACTTTGCTAAAAACTTTCTCACAACTTAGCCATCTTACTGCTGTGTAATATGGTAAATCTTGCGATGTTTTCACCAATGTCTACAACACGCTAAGCAATTGTATTGTGCACAAAACTACATTTTAAAAATGTTTTGAATTTTCTGGGCAAAGTTCCTCAGCCACCTCCAACAAGAGATGAGAGGACCTCGCGAGCCTCATTTGGCCACTGGCTGTAGTTTGGTGATGTCTGATGTAGCATATTGGTTAGGACCTATATCATAATAATACTATATAGTAGTAGTAGCCTGTGGGACAACGAGGTCAGATGGTAGAGCACATGACTGTGAACTCAAAAGTCTCAAGTTCAAATTGTAGATTCAAGTCTGTAAGATATACCTGAGTCCACCCAGCTATGAACGATACCATACTCACTTCAGAGAAACCAAGGTGGCTTGGATAGTGCTTACCACACTATCTCATTTACCATGGTAATTAAAACATATGAGCTATACACACACTACTTCTTCAGTCCCAAGTGTTTTGGGCACAACCAGAAAAAGATGATGAGTAGTATCCTACAATGCCTGCTATTATGTATATATAGGCCTATATATATATATAGCCTATATATATATAGCCTATATATATATAGCCTATATATATATATATATATATATATATATATATATATATATATATATATATATATATATATATATATATATATATATATATATATATATATATACACATATATATATATATATATATATATATATAAAAGTTTCCCTTTCAAACCTGACGGTCTATGGGGCAAGTGAAGTAGAGTTCACTTGTTTCTGTGACCTCGGCATATGAAGAGATAGTGTGGTCAGCACTATGCCCAGCCGCCTTTACTTTCCCTAACGTGAGTTAGGTACCCATCAGAGTTGGGTGGACTCAGGGACGGTCTCATGACTTGAACCCGGATTCGAACTCGAGACTTTCGGGTTAGCAGTCCAGCTCTCTACCGCTAGACCACTCCGTCCCATATATATATATATATATATATATATATATATATATATATATATATATATATATACACATATACATACATATAGGCCCTATTATATATATATAGGCCTATATATATATATATATATATATATATATATATATATATATATATATATATATATATATAGGGCCTATATATATATAGGGCCTATATGTATGTATATGTATATATATATATATATATATATATATATATATATATATATATATATATATATATATATATATATACCCTATTAAATTACTATTATTGTCTATTTAGTATTTAGCTAAAAGAAAAAATAATATTGTATACAGTACTAATACTATACAATTACTATACATTCACTATACATGTCTACATTTTTAAATATATTGTTTTCAACAACTTCTTACTGTTCTTTACCTTAGACAGATTCAACAAATTATTTCACTTCAGCCTTCTTATTTAACATGTAGGCTATGGTTTAAAATAGTTTATATCTACTTGAATCCCTGGTGGTTTTCATCTATCTGTAAACAGAAAGTTAAATGATAAAAATTAAGACAAGTTCACAGTAGATCATCATAATATTAATAAAATATGCCTAGCTTACTCAAACTTACTGGATCTAAATAGCAATAGTCAGGGCACTGGCTTTGGTCTAAAATTCAATTACAGGAAAACAACACGTAGGCCTAATTAACTAATTAAAAGTTTGTGATAGTTTCTACTCTATTCTATATGGAACAAACACGTAGGCTTACCAGTCTATAATTAGACACCAGACCTAGAATACAGCACTGCACAGCCAATGCATTGACTTTTTTTTTAATGACCTAATAATACTCTAACAGAGTTACAAATTAACAAGGCAGTGTAGTTAATGATAAAATTAAAAACTTAGCCTATTAATATTATAACTATTAGTATTATAATATTAGGGCATCGCATAGGGCATGCCTACTCTGTATAATTAAATAATAAATAATATTTAAAATATGAATATGCAATTTAGATCTAGCAGCAGTGGCGTAGCCAGGATCGTCTCAAGGGGGGGGTTCCAATTTTTACCCGGGGACAAACTTTCGATTTGCACCCCCCCCCCCATCAAACTTTCGATTTGCACCCCCCCCTCAAACTTTCGATTTGCACCCCCCCCCCCTCAAACTTTCGATTTGCACTTTTTATATATACTTTTTATATATACCGAGGGGTCTATGGGGGGGGGGGGTTATGACCCCCCCTAACCCCCCCTGCCTACGCCACTGTCTAGCAGCTTGTAGTTTGTACATCTAGATTAAACCATAATTGCAGATTGTCAAATTTTACTTAGAGTACTATCCATTCTGTATAATAAGCCTACAAAAATAAAAAGATCCTAGTTCAGCGAGACCCGCTTATTTATTCATATTCAATTCACGTCTTCAGTCATGGATATTGCCGACTAGGGCATTTCAATACTAGACTCACTGGATCTAATGATAATGTAGCCTAAGGCCTAATAAATTAATAATTGTTAAAATTTAATATAAGCCCTACTAGCTAAATGAGCAGAGCAGTAATGAAGACTACCATTATCTCATGTAGAATCTAGTAGACAGCTTAATAATTTACTAAAATACTCAGAATTTAAAAAATGTCTTAGGCCTATCGGGATATCTACTACTACTACTAGACATTAATTTTGTTCTATTGAAAAGAAAGACAACTCAATTAAAATCAAATAATAAAAAAAAAACCCACCTTGCTTCATTATATCCCTTCTTCAGAGAGAAAAATGCATAATATTAGATAGATTTCTTTAATTAATAGCAAGAAAATATTTCAGCTGTGGAGTTACAACAACATGACAATGTTGTTACAATGGAGTTACAAAATCTAACTTGGTATGATGATGTGTGATGAATTTTTTTTTTGAGGGGGGGGGGGGGGGAGTTGTAATATCGACACAAAAATGTGACGTCATTAATGGGATTACCCCTTTAACACAATTTTTACTTCAGTAGGCCTAATTGAATATCCAAATAGTTGACTGTGGATTCTATCCTATGTATTTATAGTTTTATATCCATTCCTAAATTTGATGTCGGTCAATGTGTCAAATTATTTTTTTTTAAAAATAAATCAGCTTGCTAAAGACCTAGATTCTAGTCTGTATTCCGACTTTATCTCCAGCGGTGGCAACTTTCGGGAGGAAGGCGTAGTTCTATATTTTATTTTCTATATTAATGATCTATATTTTTTTCTATATTATTATCCTTGGGGTGGTGATGTACGACCTCCAGTGTTTCTTCCAGACTTTTTTTCTCCGGGGGTGCACTTGAAATTTTCGGGGGGGGGGGGGGGCGGACACTGACAAAAGTATATATTTTCTATATAAATTCCATTTCGTTCGGGGGGGGGGGGGGGGGGAAGTTGGCAGTGTTTGAAAGAAACGCTGCACCCCACTTTTGAAAATGCCACCTTGAAGTAGGCTTAATTTTAACTTTTAATAAGACCCTCTGAAACTGGTTCATATTAACCTTTTTTGGAAGGTACCGAAACCCACCAGTTTCATACACATTCACTGAACTCTCCTTAATAGTTCCATCGTCCGCACTGACAAAATCCGATCGGGTGAGTGTCGTCTTGACCTTAGCCGAACCTCTGGAGACTGACTCACCGAACCCAGGTTAAGATCCACTGCTCTAAGCATATATTTTCACATTTACTCTTGCCTATTTTTGCCTATGACCTGTATAATAATTTTTACTTTCTCGTATATACGTAGTATAGAGAAAGTATTGTAATCGTGCAAAAAAAAAAAATCGAGATTTTTACAAATCTCGACGTTTTACACCTCACTGATACGGAAAAACATAATTTTGCAATCTTGTCCGTATGTCTGTGTGTGTGTGTGTCTGTCCGTGTGTGTGTCTGTCCGTGTGTAAACACGATAACTTGAGTACCGTTACAGCTAGGTTGATGAAATTTCATATATAAGTATTTTATCAAAATCGTAGATTCGTATCAACTTTTGAGCGATTTCCGATAACCGGAAGTGGTACTTTTCCTACTTTGAATTTTTTAAAAGCCTATAACTTGAGTACTATTTCAGATAGATAAATGAAATTTCACATGTAAGTAAAAGATCTAATTCTCTACCTTCTGTTAAATTTTGAGTAATTTCCGTTGACTGGAAGTAGTAATTTACGCTACTTCCGATTTCTCAAAAAACTAATGTAAATTTTAAAAGTACTAATAATATTGCGCACTATTATGCGCTTTTTTTTATTTGCGTTCACTTGGTGTGCAATTAATTTGTCTACGAGATTTTATTCTATTTTTAAAACTTTAAGTATTTAAAATGGATTAAAAATCATGTCTATAGCCCGAGTTCCCATCCCCTGTTATTTTATATAAAAATATTCGAGAAAGTTTAGGGGAGATCACTACCGGTTTATATATTACGGAATCGAAAAGGGTTGATATAAAAATTGACTGTAAGCTCTTTTATATTTAAGTTCAAAATCAAGGTACTCTCCAATTTACAAACGTACTATTTTCCTATCCCGGCTTGTTGACTTCCTAATGAAATAGATTTCTAGCTGTTTTAACTTTCTAGACTTAATTTCCTGATTTAGTTGTCAATAAAACAGTAACAGTTCATAAGCTACAAAGTTAGTAGGTAATCTTTCGATAATATACTCAGCTTCAAATCATTGTAAGAAGATTTTTGGGCCTACGGTGCCGGTGGCGAATTTTTTTTCTTTGAAATTTTAATTTAATAATTTTTGGTCCACATCCCAATCTCTCTCATTTCATTATTTTAAAAAGGGTAACCTATCGCTTAAGGTACGTAAAATTGGCCGAGGCTAGTAATGTGAAAAGAAGGTGCCTCATTAAATTTTAGTAATTATTTCACTTTTTAAGGAAGATTTATTTTATGATTTGTAAGTTACAAAAATTAGGCTACACGATATGGCAGGAAACAGATTGGTACCGCAAAATGCATATTCGGTCTTCGCCGTTCATAAACTTTCTAACCAGACATCGTTCGGGGATTTTGTTTATACTGATAAATAGAGCAAGGTTTTTACAAGCTTCGTTAGCAACATTTTTGTGGAATTCGTTTTTTATGACATTTTGTGCCGCGGCGAAGGATGCGAAGTATGCAAATCTAGACGGAATGGATCTACTTGGAAAGTACGTGTACTGCACTAATGAGGTAAGAAATAATATTTTGTAAAAATAACTATTATTTTTTTATGGATTTTTCATTAGAAATGATTGCTGTAAATTATGAAAGTAAAAAAAAGTATATTTGAATGCGTTTTTTACTTAAATTTGAACAAAATGACTGCCGAAAATTACGACACATCGGCGTCGCTGAAAGCGGGAATTTCAGTTAATTTTTTACGGATATAAAATTGTATTTTTTTACTCCGAAGCATGTATTTAAATAACAGTTAAGTTAAATCTATTTAATTCTGTAAAATATAATTATTATTTTGCCGTAGATACTTTTTTTTATATTTTTAATGATTTTCTGTCGCGGAAAATCGGTATTCGCACCATGCACGCACACGTAGTAAAACTAGACTTATCTTTAAAACACGAGAATCTTGAGTACACTGCGAATAACAAAGTTTTTAAATTTTAGTTTACTTTTGACTTTAAGCCATTTGTTTTAAATCGAAATTAATTGATAATGTAATTATTTCAAAGTAAAAATCTTCCGTCGCAAATTGGGTTCTAGCCTTCGCCACTGAACCAGCCTACGCACGACAGTCGCGCGAGTCTGTTTCTTCGCAATAGTCTGTATAGTGTCGAGGGCTAATTCTAAAAAGAACCGAGTCCTCACTAATGTAATGTTTATTAAAATTAGGTACAATTGTTGGAACGCATGAGAAATAACAAATTAATATTTCTTTAAATCTATAGCCAAAAGAAAGTAGAACTTTATAACTCTGTAAATTATGAATCGAGTGACGGCTGTCGTGAAAACGGGAGCCATTTTACTCTTTTTTTTAGGGTGACCTACTTTTATTATATAATTTTAAAATTCATCGATTTGATAAGCAGCTGAGTAGCTGACTACGCATGCGATATGGCTGGCACGTTTTGGGATAGGGATCGAGTACACCATAGAATTTTTTTTCTTAGAACTAAGCGTATTTTTTTTTTAAATCAAAAGATACTTACATATCAGTTGTTGATTTCAATTTCATTATAGATCTAATCACTAACTTCAGTTTTTAAAAGTGATTTTGCTTCTAGAACTAGCGTATTTTCAAAATTACGTAGATTCTAAATCTAGATCTAGATCTATTCACTTACTATTTGACAACCGTGTCAGTAAAATGAGGTCACCGCTTCCAGATTCTTAGGTTTTAATTATGTTTGTCATTTTGAACTATTATAAGTAGCATTAAAACAACTGCATCTATTATCAACATTGTTTTTATATGCCAGTTCTAATTATACATTCTGTTCATTACCAATTCTAATGAAATCGTATCAGGCCCTAACAGTACCCTGTTCACCTACACTGACACTACACTTGAATGACGCCACAGACAGTCGTAACTTTAAATTAATGTTCAAAGTACTAAACAATTATAATTAGCCATGTAAATGCTGCAACTATATTAAAAATTGGCATATAGACATATTTTATTAATTATGTTTTTTTATATAGACCTTCTATATTTAACTCTGTTATTTTTTTCTTCCCCAGAGTGTTTCTAAAAGCCAGAATTTTAAAGGGGAGGGCGGTCGTTTTTTTTCTCAAGAATAATTATAGAAATAAGCTATAAACTGGTATATTTTGTAAAGTTTGACATAATTACAAATAAATGTATGCCTAAGTGACATTTCTGTGTAATTATATCGTTAATTTTGTGAATTTCGTGGATTTTTGGACCTCACTACATTTAGATTATTTTAGATGTAAAAAAAAATCTCAGTTGAGTGAGTGTGGTTAATCTACATTTTGAACGTGATGTAAATGTCTAGTGCTATTAATTTTTATATTTTTGAATTCCTCGATTGTTAAGCAACAAAATTGATATATAATATGTCAATATTTGTTACTTTGAAAATTGGCGAAAATCGACCCTAAAAGTAGATGCTTGAGGGTTGAATCTGTTTCCTGCCATATCGGATATAGCGTCGCCGTTAATTATACCGGAATTGCATAGCAGTAAAAAAACAGTAAAACCATGGCGTAATCTGTTGAGCCGTTCCGGATATACTCTAAACCATAATTTATTTGCCGCCATATTATATTATTTTAAATAGGCCCTACATAGTACATAATGTTTAAAAATGTGCAAGGATTTATTTTAGTTGCAATTTAGCCTAAATACTAAATACTGTTTGGCCTATTCTTTTGTATTTCTAATTATTTTATGTGTATGTGCTAATTATTGCTGCTACTAAACATTGTTATTGTTCTTCTTACTACCTTTAACATGAGTAAATCTAATTGTCTTATTTTACTAACAGATCTAGTCTAGAATCTAGTTGTCGCAAATCTTCTGAAAGTTTTTTTTCTGTGTTTTCTTAAAAAAACATTAATTACTACACTCGACTTTATTAATAATATTTATATTTACTAATTGTTGCTAATTTTCTGTCAATTAAATATCAAAGTTAAAACATTAATTTAATGCACTAGACTTTATTTTTATTTCAACGGTCAAATAAACTATGGTTTACAGTAACAAATGCTACCGAAACTCAACAAACATTACCAGATAATTTCCGACGCTATGTTGTGAGATTACCCAAAAATGTTTCAAAGTTTCATTCATGTACCTGTTTTCAACAATTTGAAACAAATACAATAATAATATATCACAATATGGATCTACTTCTATTAAAGCCTTAACAATGAAGCAACTTTGTCGCACATTACTAGCCTCGGCTGATTTTACGGACCTAAAACGATAGATTATCAAAAAAAGATATAACCTAGATCTTGAGTCTAGGGCCTAATAATAACCTAGTCTCATTGTCACTGTCAAGTACAGAAAACACTCAATTTACACACTGTCATAGTCTAGCCACTAACTTATCAGACTTATTAGTAATAAACTAAGCACTACTACTACTAGCTACTAGCAATTCTTACTCAATTTTTATTTAAACTTGACGGGCATCATAATGAATGCTTCATATCTGATCATATTCACATTTTACTTTTTTAGCTGATAAAATGTATTAGGTTCACTAGCATGGATATAGGTACTAGAAAAGCAATTAAATTTTACCAAATCACATTGATTATGCCTGAGATGAAAACTCATACCTGGTTGATTATGATGATGTTTCCACTTTTATTGTTATCAAAATTTAATCCTTCAGGGCTGAACCATGACTGAATCACTAAATGAATTCAAACTCAGTAACATGCCATCTGATGGCATAAGTTCAGTGAAGTTTGGACCCAATTCTAATCAGTTTCTTCTTGTGTCATCCTGGGATGAGACTGTACGCCTCTACGATGTCCAGGCAGATAGCATGCGCTTTAAATACTCTCATTCTGCTGCTGTCTTGGATTGCTGTTTTTATGTAAGCATTTTTTTCCTAGGATAATTATCTGTTGATATCTTGTAAAAATTTGTTTAAATTAGGAAACAAAAATAATTTCCTTTTATGGTACAGCTACTATGAAGTCACAAACAGTCTGTAGGCAATGATTGTCTAGTTAATAAAAACAACCAGATTATGATTTTAGACAATAGTTACATACATATTTTGTTTTCACTCTTAATGCCATGTTTCTTATTTGTCTTAGGATGCTGTGCATTCATTCAGTGGTGGTATTGATAAAACTCTGAAGATGTATGATTTCAACACCAATACAGGTTAGAGAACCTAAGTATTAAAGCTGTGAAATGTCATATTTTTTGGGATTCACATTCTTAGTTTTGCTTAACACTAATTAAAATAAAGATTTACATGTCTACAATTTTATATAATGTTTAATAAAACAAAGTCAAATTTTTCATCCAATCTGTAATATGGAATTAAGTACATTTTAAAACATTGTCAATTTATTTTTCAAATCAAAATTAGTAACATTAGCAACCGAGACTGTTTAATAAAAATGGTTTTGTTTTGTAGATCAAATAGTTGGTCATCATGATGCCCCTATTCGTTGTGTGGAATATGCACCTGATGTCAATCTGGTAATTTCTGGTAGTTGGGATTCTACTGTAAAAATCTGGGATCCCAGGCATCCCAATATGGTGGGAAGTTTTGCACAGCCAGATAAGGTATGATTTTACAGCATTCCTTTGTTAATGATATGTTTTCAATGGCACACGATTTTTATGTTATCTTGTAATTCTATTTTTTTTTATTATAAAAGATTGTATTAGTTATTTTAAAATTAAATTTCAGTATCAGTTGATCACTTTCTGCTATAACAAGATTTTAATTTTTTTTTTAATGTCTCTTTAGATAAATGTTCTTAATTATGTGAATGGTATGAATTCTAGTAAATTGATTTTTCATATAGGTCTATACAATGTCAGTGTGTGGAGATTCTCTAATTGTTGGTACTGCTGGAAGAAGAGTGCTCGTTTGGGATCTGAGGAATATGGGATATGTGCAACAGAGGAGGGAGTCAAATTTGAAATACCAGACTCGTTGTATTAGAAGCTTTCCGAATAAACAAGGATATGTTCTCAGTTCAATTGAAGGTTTGAAATTGTGTAGTCTGTTTACATGAAATAAAATTTTATATATACTAAGCAATTAAGCTAAACTGATGGTGATTATTTTAGTTTAATTAGTAAATTCATTCCTGTTAATATTATATGTTCCAATCTAATTTGTTTAAACACATTCTTATAAAGTAATGGAAAATAAGATATCATAAACCATTATTCTACCTGCTTCAAAAATGATTTTACAGTGAGCCTACATTGTATAGAATCACTACTAAAAAGAAAAATGTAAAATATATACAAGTGTTTTTATTATCAATTTAATTAGAATTGGTACAGTATTATAAGTGGACATTTTATGTGTATAATTAAAATAAATTTACTTCAATTTTATTTATAAAATAGTTTTTTGCTTGTTATTTTATTTAAACAGGTAGAGTTGCTGTTGAATATCTTGATCCCAACCCAGAAATTCAGAAAAAGAAATATGCCTTCAAGTGCCATAGAATAAAAGAAAATGGTCAGGAGCTGATTTACCCCGTCAATGCAATAGCATTCCATAATGGCTACAACACATTTGCCACTGGGGGTTCTGATGGATATGTTAACATTTGGGATGGCTTCAATAAAAAACGTCTTTGTCAGTTTCATAGGTTGGTAGTTTATGTATTAGTCATGTAAAAAAACTATTGATTATAAAAAAATGTATTATTTTGTGTTATATTTGCTTTGTACCGTATTTTATAATACTTGAATGAAAAAATGTACACACAGTGTATTTTTGTTTATACTCAAGTTGTATGATATATTTTAAATTCTTTGTTTCTATATTCGTTCACTAGGTATCCAACAAGTATTGCATCTCTGGCATTTAGTCATGATGGAAGTGTGTTGGCGATTGCCTCCTCTTTTATGTTTGAATCTGAAGTTGAGAAGGTTCCAGCGCCTGATACAGTTTACATTAGAAATGTTACAGACCAAGAGACTAAGCCCAAATCATAATTAATTGCAAAATCAAATTCACATTGTTTGTTTTACTGTAAATATTTGAATTTTTAAAATGATTGTATGTTCATTAAGTTAAATTACAATGTTTGGAGGAGAAATTACTTGTCCTTCTAAAATACTTTTTGTATCCATTACATTGATAAATTATAAACCTCAGTACTCATTTTTAGAACTTTGAAAGAATTATTCAATGGTTTTTTTAAAAAAAAAAAAAACAGCTGTATATAATTAATTTAGGAATTTGTTTTAAAACTATAGACATTCATCAATGTTGTGCTACCTTTTCATGGAGTTAAAAATATTTTTTATCAATAATAACCATTGGGCAAGAGGTCACCAAGCCATTTTATGACTTTTTTTTACATGATGTGCAATCTGTAATAAAGAAATGTGAAGGCACATGAAAGCTGTTATTTTTGTCAGCAATAGTGCTTAGACTTTGACCTAAACAGCTAACCTGGCAGATAAACAATAGCAAGACAGGGTCTACTGGTTTGTCTGAGCAAAGAGACTCTAAAATGTAACAGGATTTCAGTATATTTTTTTTATAAGAACCATAATGTAACAGTATCATAATGTTCACACATTGGGATCAAAGTTTGTCTTTTCTTGTGCAGCTATCACATTGCGAAGTTGTGTAGTAGCCTCCCAAGTTAAAGTATGGTCTCCATGAGTCTCACTAACTGTAAAACATTTTTCTTATGTATGAAGTCATTTAGTGAATAAAACAAAGAATACAAACATTGAAATCAAAGAGTTTTGTTTTTACAGAGCTACCAATAAAACTAGTAGTAGCTGTAAAGAATTAAATTTTTAACCAATTTGATAACTGCATTATCTGGCATGTAATAACCTAGGTCTAAGGCATTAACATAGGGTGTGTAGCCATGATTATTTGTTTGTACAGTGGAAGGACCTAATCTGTGTTAGGGCAAACAATCCTAAGGTCTACTCTATCTTTGACATCATTCAATTATATTATCCAGAAATCTAGGAAAAAATTCCTAAGTTCATATTGAGGGGTTATCTATGAATAATGATTTTTTTTTACACACACACGGGGGGGGGGATCTGACAATTTACACTGCCATCATCATAAAAACAACCACGGAGACCAGAAAAAATGCAAAACCAAAAAGTGGGAAAGGGAATTTTAAACAACCAGTTATTGTTTAAAGACCTTATCAAACTATTTATTTATTCAATTACAGTAACAATAGTAGGCACGGAGGCATAATTACCACGTCTACATTGTGTAAAAAAAACCTACTTTTTTCACTTAATATTTTTCTTGGAATTGCAAATTATTAATTAAACTGAGTCTGCATATAGTATTATTATTTATTTTTTGTAATATACAGAAATAGTCTTGAAAAAAAAGGTGAAAATTTATTTTTAAGAGTTACTTTTTAAAAGCAAGAGTGGGACATCTATATTTCCCCACCCCAGGGGTCGGCAACCTGCGGCTCTCGAGCCGCATGCGGCTCTTTTGATATCAAGATGCGGCTCTCCAGCTCCTTGAACAAATAGTAATAATCTTAATAAAAAAAATAAAATATTTGAAATAAAAAAATGTTAGGGGCTCTTTAAAACCAGGTAAATTTTGAAAATTGTAACTTTTGGCTCTTCCGCTTCAAAAGGTTGCCGACCCCTGCCCCACCCCCATCGGGACGCTTGATTCATTTAGGTAATTTTTAAAATGAAACAATTGTGAAAACTAAACATTTAATTTTCGCCAAATGTAAAGTTAAATGTATTATTAATATTATTGAGTGACTTTGGTGACATTTTTTTTGAGGGGGAGGGAAAATGAGGCATGGAAATTTAATACCTTACTTAATACTTATAGACCCAACTGCGTCTCGACACCTAAAGCCAAAAACAGCAAAGTTTGTGTGATAAAATGTGATGTCGATCTTCTTACAGCCCCACTTTAACAATGATCAGTCAACAATAGGATCGCAATATCTTCGATTAACAACCCATTGACTGTTTGCTAACCATTGACTTTGAGAATAGCCTATTGACAAGATTTTGTCGCACCACAACGAACGTGATTAAGAATATTTGACCAAGGCTTGGAAGTATATGCCCTAAGGATTAAAAAAAAGAAAAACGGCACGAAACGGTGTTTTAGTAGGGAGATTTCGTGAAGCTAGTTTTTTTTTTTTTTTAAAGTTGCAGCACACTTGACCTAAATAGATTAAACTATTTATATAGTTAGGCTAGATATTTTACAAGTACTTTGTACTAGAGCTAGGTTTAGCTTAATCCGATTCCGGTAATATTTTAGTTATCTTTAACAGTACGGTAATTACATAAGCCGAAATTCCGAGAAAATTGAAAGGAAAACGAGAATAAAGGGTAGGGCAAGGGCTATAACTGTTGAGTACTAAACTAAACCAGTGTGTGTATTATTTACATTGCCAACCCGACAAGAACATGGATGTCCTGAAAACTGCTGCTGAAGTTGGGGTTGAAAAACACCCACGGTCTCTCAAACAAGAAGTTACCTATGGAACCGCTGGATTTAGAATGAGGTAATTTTGAAAAAAATCTATTTAAATAACTGTTTGAATGTCCACTATCCGATGACTATCCACTATCTACTGTTGTAGTAAATGACACGTCACCAACACTCCACTGTCCTGCATGATCAGATCATCTCAATCTCATCAATGATCAGCAGATTTAAGTGTCAGGCTCGGTAGTGAGTCGGTACACGGTAGTAATTTAGAGAATAGAGAGGGTTAGGCTTGATGGCTTGATTAAAAGAGAATAGAGATTAGAGAGGGTCAGTGTTTCTTCCAGACTTTTTTCTCGGGGGGGGGGGGGGGGGGAGGGGGACGACACACGACTGTTAAAAGTATATTATAGTATATAGTATAGTTAAGTATAGGCCTATATATTATTATATATTAATATTTTCTACATAAATTCCATTTCATTCTGTAGAGATGCCTGAAAGAAGCACCGAAGAGGGTTACTTCTGTAATATTAGTCTAGCCATCACACTCATTTTTTTGCTAGTCCACAAAAAGTTAAAAAATAAAAAAAACAGCTTAATAGTTAAATTGTTAGTTAAGAATCAAAGTATAAGTAGGCCTACATATTATGCAGAATGGTTGTATGCCATATTATTTATTATTAAGCTTTTTTTTTCTAATGAATAGTTGTAGTTACCATAGGTATCTCCCTGATCCTCCAAGCAGTACCAGTAGGCCTTGATTAAGACTCAAAAGTTTATTTCTTATATTACATAGAAATTATCATTGAAAACCTGATCAAAACTTTGTAGCTTACTTGGACTTGACTGACTTGACTGACGACTGAATCCTATGTGGCCCCTGAGGAGCAAAGGGCTACAGCCACACCTCTCCATCGGAGTTGGTTTTGTGCAGCTCTCTTTATTTGCACCCACAAAAGCCCAGCAGCCCTTGTCACATCTTCTAATGTCCTCCACCAGGATTTACTTAGACTTGTAGGAGATTGTATAAAAGTATTGAAAGTTATATTAACTATGTAATTATTTAGAAAGATATTAGCTACAGGATAAAGGCCATCAGTTGATGCAGGTATGCTGCAAGGTCTATACAAACAAAATTTCAAGAATTTTGTAATTAAACATAACATTTATATGCAGGCCTTTATCTGAATATAATGTACTCACTGTAGTTACTGTCATAGCAATGTCTATCAAAAGAATGTGAATTTTAATTTAGAAGATTATTTTACACTGTTATAATTAAAGTTACATTTTTATTGCTTTGAATACAGATGTATGCAATTGTAGTACAAGTAAAAGTTTTTAAACTTCTATTTCAGGGCAGAAAACCTAGATCACATTGTCTATCGCATGGGTTTACTGTCTGTACTGTTTTCAAAACATCGCTCTGGTAAGTGTTTCTTTCAAATAATAGCGAAAAAATGTCTTGACTAATTCTGGTAGTGATATATTGTATCCGTGTTGCAGTCGAAACTGAAGCAAGGATTAAAGTTAGTGTAGCAATAGTAGCATGAATAATTTTGATGCAGCATTTTAATAAATATTGAGGTCTTCAAGTATTGTTAAATAGCCTTGTATGTAATCCTCCATTACATTGGTACTCAAGATATTTTCCTTGGCAATTTGAATCATACATTCATAAATGTTAAGAAAGTATATTATAACTGTACTCACCAAACACCGATCTTGCATTGATTTTAAAAAAAAAGAGATAAACAATAATTTTTTAAGAATATAAAGGTTACTTTTAATTATTATTTTTGTTTAACATTTCTACATGCATTGTACCATTTCTTTAGTGCTTTTCACAAACACACTATTAAATTATTTTCTTTTACTAGGAATGACTGGTTTAATGGTCACTGCATCTCACAATCCTGAGGAAGATAATGGTGTCAAGTTGATCGACACAATGGGCGAAATGATGCCCATTTCTTGGGAGTCCCATGCAACACAGCTAGCCAATGTGAGGTAGTGTAAATCATTTTTAAACTGCTGGAATCTTTTATTTGAAGGTGGCACATCAATATACTTTATTTTAAAATATAAGTTCTATAAATGTAAATTTAAAATTGCAAATTAAAACATTTAAACTGTAAGTAGTTAGAATATAAAACCTGACAACAAACCTATATGGTCACAGTTTAGTGTTTTATGAACATAGTCTACATTTCGACAACATTTTTAAAAAATCACAAAACTAACAATATGCTTGAGTACATAAAAAAACAAAATGATTGAAAAACAACTTTTATTGAAACATTAATGAAAGTGAAAGTTATGGACAGTGCAAAATATATATAGTTATATAGCCTTCATTCCCTCAAACTCATGTGATGTGCGATCTACAAGGCAGAATACTTAATTAGTAAGTGGCCACTCATTGTCTGTAATAACTGCAGCCATTAAACATCAAAGTTTATTCCAAATAAAAAAGTTGAGTGTGACACAAATTCAGTTCTCCTCTTTGTCACTATCCTAGTTCTTGACTGACTATTTTACCAGAGAGTCATAAAAAGAAGTTACATTAACATTCACCCCTCTGTAAATCATGGCACAATTACAAAGCTTTATTCAATTTTGTTTTGTTTAAACTTTAACAGTGATGAAAAATTAGTAGATGTTCTGAAAGAGATCATTAAAGCAGAGAGTATTGATATGTCAAGGCCAGCTTCTGTATCAGTTGCCATGGATACAAGGTAAAAATAAAGTTCTTTATTGGGCCTCTCAAAAGTACAAAATTGTATTGTTATTATTGTTACACAAATAAATTTTTCAAAAGTTAGCTGTATGCTTGTCATAGCAAAATTTATTAAATTATTTCTTCGATTATTAAAATTTTTACTTATTCTGCACATACATTTAAAAAAAAAAACATTAATAATGGTTTGCAACATTGAAAAGACAATAACTATACTTCAGGCCCAGTAGTAAATTGTTGACACAAGCAGCAAAAGATGGTATTGAAGCACTTGGTGGCAATTGCTGTGATTTTGGTAAGTATTATCTCTATTATTTTTCTGCTTATTCTTAATGTTGGATTAGTGAAAATATAAATCATTTCTGTATATTTAGCTTTATACAAGCAGCAATTGTTTAAAAAAAAACAACCCACAAGCTTTGGGTTATGTTTGATAGTTTACATTTGCTTCTTACCATGATTGATATATTTAGTAAATGTTTTGTTTTGTACAATTTGGATTTTGTTTAGATTTAAAGTGTTTTGTCCCACCTCCAAAATGACTTTCAAAATAAACAAAGCAAACTTAGCTTAAGCCATTTTTTTAAGGACTATCATGGTAAAGGTAATCGTTGCTTTAGTTTAAGGACAGTCATCTTAAATTTGTGGTTATTTGTTTTGTTTTTAGATTTCCCATAACCTAAGTGTATCATTGATTTTGTTTAAGGACTGTTAACAACACCACAGTTGCATTACATTGTGTGTTGTAAAAACACCAATGGTCAATATGGAGAGCCAACAGAGAAAGGATACTATGAAAAATTGTCCAAGGCTTTTATAAAACTTAACAAAGTATATCAATTTTATAATTATCTATATACTACATCTTAAAATGTGTGTTCAAAAATGTAAATTATTTTTTCTGACTTATTAAACTGCACACATTATTAAATAAATCAGTACAATTTTTATTTCATTTTTATTTTTAGGATATAAAAAGTAAAAAATATGTTCCTCAACTCTACCTTGATTTAGCCAACGGAGTTGGAGCTCTAAAAATACAAGAATTAAATAACTATATTAATGATGTCTTAAAAATAACTTCTTGTAATGATGGAACCTCTGGGAAACTAAATTATCAAGTAAGCTCTGAATTATTATTTTTCTGGAAATAGTTAAGAAATCTTAAGAAAGTTAAGAAAGCTTTTTTTTTCAGCCTGACTGTTAATTTTATATTTCATTATTTAGGATTTATTTGATTTTTTAATTTCCTATTCCAGTGTGGTGCAGACTTTGTGAAAGTTAATCAAAGAGCCCCAGTAGGTATGACAGTTGACCACTAAAAGTTTTTTAATCTTTTTCAACTATTAATTTTATATTTTGAACCTTTTTAACTGTAAAAAAATTGTTATTTTCTTACTTATATTGACACATTTTTTTCTTTTTAATACTGTTAACACTGGTAATTTTAACTTCACCATAACAATAGAACTTTAACACAAAATTATCTGCTATCTTTCTGCCCCTAGAAAACAACTAGAACCTTCGCCTTCTAACATGAACATTTGTGATGTTTTATTTGGATAAAAATTCTGTTGTAGTATTAAAGCTAGATTACTAGTAATTGGTGTGCTTGAACAATCTGACTCTTTAAAGGAATATGTTAATAAAAGCATGTGGCTGTGGTGTTTTAAAAACATAAATCTGGTTTTAAATAGGTATGACATTGGAGCCTGGGATGCGTTGTGCTTCTTTTGATGGAGATGGTGATAGAATAGTTTACTACTACAAAACAAATGATGGAAAATTTGCTTTACTGGATGGTGATAAAATTGCCACATTGGTAAGTGCTTGTTTATCTATAAATTTCACTATAGTTAATTAATCATGTGAAGTGGTATAAACAGTATTGAGTATGTGGAATGTCCCAGTGTTCACCCAGCTCTGATAGGTACCTATCTGAAGTCAAGGAAAATAAATATGACTAGACAAAATACTGACCTTGTAGTGAAAGAAATGAACGCTACGGAACCATCATCTGAAAGGGAACAATACTCTAACTTTGATTAAGAACAGTCTACTATAAGTCATCTACTGGTTTTTTTTTAAATTAATACAAATGATAAGAATATTAATAATAGTACAGAAAAGAGTAAATATTTTATAATTAATATATGTTATGTGATTCAGTTTGCAGGATTTCTTAATGAACTCGTTAAATCAAGCCAATTAAATTTGAATATAGGCTTGGTACAGACAGCATATGCAAATGGAAGTTCTACAAATTACATAACAGACATTATGGTAATTTTCACCTCAAACTTTTTTAATTCTAAATTTTGCACCTTAATATTAGCTATTGCCTGAATAAAAGCTTACACAGTCAACTTACATTAAATGTTATTTTATAATTTTTTTAGGTTTATCCTGCTTAGGTATTAAACACACTTAAGTATAATATATCATGATGTAAAAAGCTTGCATAATATTAATAATTTTAAAACAACATGTTAATGTCAGGGTGAACCTTATCAGTTGCTTACTAGTCATTCCTTTTTGCTTCACCAGAAAGTACCAGTTGCTTGTGTTCCAACAGGGGTGAAATACCTTCATCATAAGGCTCAAGATTTTGACATCGGAGTTTACTTTGAAGCTAATGGCCATGGGACGGTAATAGCCAAACTTTTATGTACTGTTTATTTAAGTGTTTGTGCTGTGATGAGCTTTTTTAATTTACTAGCCAAAGATTCATTTTCCAGGGCAGCTACTACTAGTAATAGATTAATTTGTTAGAATTAAATAATCTTATAGTTTCCTGATTAAGTAATGCGACATTGTGGATTGTCTTTCTTGACTTCAGTAAAATATCTTGTATTTTACACTGACTAGAGGTTTTATTTCACTTTAGGTTTTGTTTAGTGATGCAGCTCAAAATGCTATTAGAAAACAAGCTTCTGACACCAGGTGTGATTTTAAATAATTTTTTTTCTAACACAAATGGTTACTTTATCTTTGAAGCTATTTGTAATGCCTTCTAAGCTTAAAAGTGAACTATTTTTACTCATTGCAGTGCTGTTTATTGTAAGGTTATCATATTAAATTTTATATTGTATGTACAAAACCTAATGATACATATACCAAAATGAGATATTTTTATTTTAGTCTTGATGAAGCAACCCAAGATGCTGCTTGCAGACTTTCCACAGTAATGGATCTGATAAATCAGGTATTCACAATTTTTTAAAGAATAAATTAAATAAAAAAATATATGGTTTTAAAGGTGTCATTTGTACTATATATTCATTTTTTTACTCAGCATTTATATAAATAAATAAATATATATATATGTATGTTTGTATATATAGTTGTCATTTAACATTTGATAACATTTCTCAGACTGTTGGAGACGCCATATCAGATCTACTGGTTGTAGAGACTGTACTGGCCTCCAAAGACTGGACCTGTCATGACTGGGATCTGGCCTACACTGACTTGCCATCTAGACAAATTAAAATTCAGGTACGTTGGGTTAGGAAATATCGGGGTGAAAAATCTGCCTTTTTACTTTACATTTTTGATAGCTTGCCTTGTATGCTTAAAATATTTTTAAAAGTACAATTGTATACAGATTAATAAATCTAATTAAAAGTGATAAGTTTTTACACCACTGTAGAATAACTAGGTTAATGGCTTTAAAATATTACTTTTTCCATTTCTCAATTTATAAGTATGACTACTCTTGAAGGTTGAAGATCGGTTGTTAGTTGAAACAACAAATGCAGAGAGGAGAACTACAAAACCAGAAGGCCTTCAAGAAGAAATAGATAAAGCTGTTGCTGGCTACAAACATGGCCGTGCCTTTGCTAGGTAAATTTTATTATTTATTTCACTTTTTGTCATTTTATAATGAATTATTGTTTAATTAGTAGCAGTGACTCTTTTGGATAATTATTTGTTAATTTATTTTGTAAATTTTAAATATGTTTTAGTTAAAAACTTTTTAAACACGTTTTGCTATTCAACTTAGAGTTACCTTGAATGTTTCATTTAATTTAAGATAAAATATTTTTCTATGACTTTTAAATTAAAACCATCATTAATACAGGCCATCTGGAACAGAGGATGTGGTCAGAGTTTATGCCGAAGCCAACACACAGGTAATTGCATTCAGTATAAGGTGTATATCAACTCTTACTTAAGGTCTAGATAATTTCTAGCAGTCAGTGAGTAAATGAACACTCAGTTTTTTTTATAAAAACTTCACTAAATATCCAATATGTTTGGCGTCACTCTTTTGCATTTAAATAAGTAATGTAAGAAACTGAATTTCAGCAGTTTTTTTTGCATTTCAGAAAAAAGTTTCTGTCTATTGTAATAGAAATGTATTAATATACTCAATGTTAACCAAGCTCAGTCAATATTTTAAAAGGGAATTGATGTTTGAAAAAAATCTGCAATTTTGAGGTGGGGTTCTGGCTTTTTGTGAAGGGGAGGTAAAACCAATTTTAAAAAGCTTGACATCATTTAAGGATGACCCCTAATACAATGTTGTGTCATTTATTATACTTTTCAATGCTCAGTTAAATGTACTAGCTTTTTTTTCTCAAATCCCTAGGCTGATGCAGATCAACTAGCTTATGAAGTTGGCATGCTGGTCTATAACATGGCCAGAGGAAAGGGTGAAAAACCATCACCTCCTGCTTGATACCTCACACACATGGTTGGAAAAATACACCATTGTATAGAACAAATGCCTCTTTTTAATTATTTTTTTAAAAGATGTTGATAATTAAGTTTTGTTATACATGTAGGGAATTTTTTTCACAGAATTTTCTGTTAATACTTATAACAATGTTATACTTGTATCAGATTTTGTATTTAATCTGAATAAAGCCAGTTGCTAATTCACTTATTTAAGCAAACTAGAGATATTTAGAGCTTTATGTATTGCTGATTAATATTATTTCATTTTGTCTAATGTCTTTAAATAATTGAACAATTGAAAAGCAATGTTGTAGCCTACTATGTAGGGTTATGAAATTTGTATTAGCTTACTTATTGTTTTACAATTCCAAAATAAGAAAACGTGATAACATTTAATATTTTAATCATTTATACATAAAAAGATGCATTTATATAATTTAATTATGACAAGTACATGCTGTGGGAAATAAATAATAAATTATTTTTCTAATAAAATTGCTTCCTTGTCTATTTAACTAGAATGTCATAAAAAATATATACATAGGAATGTTAAAGGCTTGGGTGTAACTTTATTGTTAAATGAAACTTTATACAGTTGAGATTTCTAACTAAATCCTAATGAAAGAAGATGATCACAAAAATAAGTTTTTGAAATAGCTAAATAAGAATACTTATTAATACTGTCAGTATTTAAGTAAGTATTCATCCTTATGTTATTACAAAAAATGTGTTAATATACAAAAACATTGGTAACTACAACTGACATAAAATGTATTTAATTTTTGGCATGCAGACTACTAACAGATATAAAGCTGGATGTATTTCTAAAAGTGACTGCTAAGGCAGGCAGGAAATCATAAAGTATTTAACAGTTTAATGATCGACATAAATTAAACACTAGTAGGACGAAATGACTTGTTATATTTGAGTCTAACTTAATAGTAAAATATTGATGAGAAATAATCAATAATTAAAACAGAGTTTCAAGTGGTTAAAAAAGTAAAGTACCTGATAATCAATACAGCAGATACTGAGTTAGTGTGTTTCTGCTACCTTTTCAAACAATATGGTCCATGTGAAGTTAAAAAACAGTTAAACTGTTTTAGAGACCTTGGCATATATACTGATAGTGGGTTCAGCAATTTGCCCAGCCACCTTTACTTTTATATCAAAATTTGTTGTACTCAGGGACATCCATTGAACCTGAGCCCGGGACCCAAATTTGATACTTTCATGTAAGCAGCTCCACTATTTGACAACGCTGTACCTTCTCTACATAAGTATATGAAGGGATAATGTGGTCAATTCCACACCACGTTTCGCTTTAGAGCTGGGTGTAGTCAGGGACATCCTACTTGCTTGAACTCAATACTTTAGTTAAGCAATAGTGCATTGGACCATGCAACCACAGTAACTTTTATCAAATACTATTTATAAGTGATATTTTCACTCAAACCTATCTTTTTTTTTTTTACATTTTAATTATCAAAAAACAAAGCATGATTTATTAAATTGTGATATTTACACTCAGATGATAAGTAAAGTTACTGTAACAATGTAAATAAACAGTTTTAATCTCTGACCTGTCAGAGTCAACATTATGTTTTATGTCCTGATAAACAGGTGTACAGTGTACATAACAAGGTTATATCACTAAACCTAGAATATAAACAACTTTTTTTAACATTCAGCACAATCTTCAAAAACAATCTAGCAAGCAAAAGTTGTAAATACATACATGACCAGAAAATGAAATTAATGAAACAGTTTGCTATATAATAGGTTCACATTTTTTAAATCTTCAAGAGTCATCTTGATAAATAGTAATATTTTTCTAGCTACCATTTCTTTTCTCTTGAAATTATTGCACTTTTGACTGCCAGCAGACAATAAAGTAAGAAAAGTATCTTATTGATATATAAATATTATTTTTATAGTCAATTAGTAATAAGGCACCCAATTACTTTTATCTTCTGGCTTTAATTGCCCAGTGACAAGTAATACCACATCAATGATCCACCATATGCCTAGGCCGCCAAGGGTGAGAAGCTTACCAACAGCAGTTCCTAGTAAATGAATAAAAAAATGTATTCAATGCAGACATGAATAAAAGTGGAAAAAAAAATGAAATAGTGTAAGGTTAGTTAGGTTTAACGCCAGAATTTACATACACCCACCTGTGTGCCCAAGACAGAATCTGTCCATCCCAAGAAAACCAAGTAAAACAGAATATATTAAAGTTGTCACAAAGTAGTGTCCATTGTACCTAGAATTTTTTTTTTTAAAAAAAAAACAACAAAAACGTTACATTGAATTTAAAAATGTATTTGCAGCAAAAAAAATAATAAAATAAAAATACAACATAACTTTACACTCTTAGCTAATAAAATATATTAGATGTTCAAGTTGATAATTACATAATGCAAGGAAATCCATCACGCAGAAATGTTCTGTTTCCATAACATTCAATACCAGGCAAAGCTGTGCACCAAACCTTTGTTTTTTGGACCTCTTCATACTTTTCACCACCCCACTGTATTTTTATGAAACAATATGCTCTAATTATTAAACAAATTGATGTTAAAAAGACTTTACTTCTAACTTGTAATTAATTATATTTAGCATATATTCTGCACATATTTTAGTATGACATACCTTAGTGCATCCATAGCCTTGTTCATTTCTTTTTGTGACATTACCTTTCAGATCTTCAGGCGCACTACAATTTAAAAACTCCAGCGGGCTGGAAAAATATAGCATTTGTATGATTTCAAATATTGCTTTTTAAAATTATAGTTAAAGATAGTTTGCTTGGCACACCAGGCTGTTTAAAAAAAAGTACTATTTTCAGCCTTACAGTTTATGGTACAAGTACAAGGGAGGCAGAGTTTAGCCTGTTTTTTTTATCAAGCTGTGGTATACATAATACAGAGCCCAAAATCCATCTTGATAGTGGTTTTATAAACAATACTTTATCTGTAATTGAGTTTTCTTCATTCTACAGTCTGTCACTAACCAATGCTATTGCATTTTAAAAAATACTACACTGTAGTCATGTAAGAGGTCGTCCATAAATGACGTCACATTCGTAGGGGGGGGGGGGTCCGCAATTTTGTGATGGTGTGTGATGAGGGAGAGGGGGGGAGGGGTTAGATGGTGTGACGTCACTTTTTTTCATTATAAAAAAGCAATATTAGAAAACGAGTTTTAGCCGTTATTGGAATTGATCAAGATACTCTATGTAAGTCTATGTTGACAGAGTTCTGACAAGATTTTGGAAAAATATCGATGCTTTAAGAAATATTCAACAGCAATTTTGAAGGGGGTTGTAGGCTGAGGTTTGATGTCATTTTGGGGGGGGGGGGGGGTCTGGCTTTTTGTGACGGAGGGGAGGGGGGAGGTAAAAATCATTCAAAAAAAGCGTGACGTCATTTATGGATGACCCCTAATGTGAAAAATTGTCAAAACCTTAGGCTTAAATTATTACTATTTTATCAGGGCTGCTCTAGACTAGTTTTTAGGGGTGATTCACTAGACTGGTTGAAGATTCATTAGACTGGCTGACCCTGACTTTGGAATTCTTTGTAAAAATGATTTTGGACTGAGTCAGGGAGTCAATCAATAGAACTGCGCTATCTAGATCTAGATCTTTCTATTTCTATTCTTATTCTTTTACTATACTATTATACTATACTATTAGTATCTTATTCTTACTAGATCTAGATTCTATCTAGATCTATGAGATAGAGATGTCAGGAGATGGGGAAAAGTTATAAAATTGAGAAAGTTGAGAAACTCGGGTGTGGGGAAATTGCGAGACGCGAAAAGCGAAATGGCGAGACGGGAAAATGCGAGAAGGTAATGCGAGACATACCTGCGGAATCAAGGGTAAATAGCGAGACACTTTTTGCGAAAAAAGTTTTTTTCTTTTTTTTCCATCTTTATTTATTTAAATTATTTTTTTGTTTTGTTTTAAAATAAACGAGCATTTAGCCATACCCTTTAACACGAGTGTTGTATGTTGTTATTTTTTTATCTAGATACTAAGAAGATAGATATATCTATATCTAGATCTATCTATTTAAAAATCCTAACATCGTTGCTGTGCTACTGCCATCGCCCGCTCTTGTTAGCGAGAGGAAAATCCCGTCTCAGTCGGCATTAATTTAAAAATCTAGCCCGCTCATGTTTATACAAACGTGAGCTGTGTCATTGTGAATTGGTATAATCTTGTCAGCAGGAGAGATATTTTGCAACATCTATTTATGGATTTTTGTACTTGCAAAAAGTCATTTATGGAAGACCCAAAATAACACCACCACCAAAACCAAAAAATTCAGATAAGTTCAACTTGGTTTTAAAAATATTTGAAGTAGGCCCATAGCTTACGATGTAGCACGAGCAACTGATAATATCGGTGACGTCACTTTATTTTTTCCCCAAACAGTAAGTAAGAGAAAAAAAAACTGGGGGCATTGAGAGTTCATAAAAGCTTAGGAATAAGCAACACATAAGGGAGGGTTAATCTAGTCCTCACCTTCACATAGGGCAGTAATCGCATACTTAATTTGATGTTATTTTTCTGACTTATTTATGGAAATAATAAATTATATATATATATATATATATATATATATATATATATATATATATATATATATATATATATATATATATATATATATATATATATATATATATATATTTACAATTAATTAATAAATAATAATATAACATTTATGGGAAAATTCGGAAAAGTCACAACCGTGATACAAAAGCTTGTGCTTAGATTTATATGGTAAAAAAAAGCTAGGAAAAAATCGTAGGCGGCGGCTATAATACAAAATTTCTATGCAACAATAGAAAATATGTTTGCGGTGGCAGCGGATCCGGGCACGGCGATCTTCAAAGACGGTAAATCAGGCGGCCTCGGCGTTCCACACAAAAGACAGAAGTTGATCTATCGTCGGCGGTATTTCCGTCAGTTTCGAACAAGGTGGTATTCTAAGTCGACACAAAAGATGGGGGGAGTTGACAAATCATCAGTATGTCTAGCGACGGAAAAATCGGAAGTTTTAACAATGTAAACGAAACGTCTTTGAAGTCTGGACCAAATACCACTGAAAATCGGGTGCGGTAAATTTTTCGCAGAAATCTTCGCATTTCAACACCACCCAGCGTAAGTATCGGCTTGTGGTAAAATGCGAGACAAAAAAGTCACGTGACCGACCGTTTTCGCGCCCTTCTCGCATTTTCCCGCCTCGCCATTTCGCTTTTCGCGTCTCGCAATTTCCCCACACCCGAGAAACTCAGGTACTCACAGAAATGAACAATGAATCAGGGCTTTCAGTGGGCCATAATCATGCCCATTAGACTCATTCATTACATAGTCATCAGAATCAGAACTGCTTTCTTTAACTAATAAAAACGCAATCGCTACAAATAAAAATGAATAAATCATTTTATCTTTATCTGAATTATTTTTTTCACACTTCCTTTATTTTTTGTTTACACCATCATCGAAGCCAGTCATAGTTTTTACTTGTATAGAAAAGCTAACAACTACTCAGTTTTCATTTTTTTTTAAATGAAACAGATTTAATTTTTATTGGATATAGATGTTAGTTAAAATGCTTTTCATTTAACTTAATTTATTCAATGAAACATAATTTTAATTTACAGTTGTTTTTTCTTAAACCTTAAACCTTCGAAACTATGCCTAAATTATTTCGGCTTGGCATAGACATCGGGGATTCCCAATTAGGCCTATTCTCACATCGCATATTTCTACTGTCTACCACCGGATTCCATACAGCTTTCGATTTTGCTGACTCAAATTACTACTGAAATTAGGTCTACCTAGTCTAGTAACTTAGTAAGCATAGAGATATAATTGTTTTTCGCTGACCAATACATAATCTAGATCTAATAAATGCTTGTAGCATTTTTAATTTTTAGGGAAACATTTTAATTTATTTAGATTCTCTAGATCTAGTCCTGGCTACTCATACTCTGCTTGGCTTGCGTCTATCGCCGGCTTTTAATGATGCTGGTTGTACTTAAATTACCTAATTAATAATAATAATAATTATACTACTACTTAAGACGAGACTTGTCTGGTAGTGGTCGAGAACTCACTTTCAACAATAGAAACAAAATTAATATGAATTTTTTTTTTTTAATATTATCTAAAAGTTCTAAAACAAGGTTATCATGATAAAATTTGTTGATAATATTTCAGGTCGACCCTTTGTTGTATTGAATTAGGCCTATAGATCTAATTGCTAACAGAAAACTTAAAACTCTGTCATAATAAATTATAGACCTAATGTGTAGTTTTTAATAATAGGCTTTATATTTTATAATATTTATAGTATAGCCTACATTTTAAAATATGCCAACAATATAAAAAATAATGAAAAAGAGGAATTAAGATTTCATAGTACAGTTAATAGTTAATATTATTATACTCAAGGCCTTGGCACTTAAATAAAGTAATATAGCATTCTATATTAACAGCATCATATATTGTGTTATTGTTTGTTATGCTGCTGATTAATTACTTAAAAAACTCAATAACTTTAATAACATCCTTTTACTTTCAGATACCAGTTTCAATGGCAGGAATAACAGTCTCATCAAATCCACTTGTATCAGTGCTAGTAACAAGCACTGCTAATCCCTATGGAGTTGAACGTCGCTTTGAGAGGGGGCTTACAATAGCTGGTCTCAAAACAAAGCTGGAACTTGTCACTGGTGCTTTCTCTCAGACAATGAAATTAACTGCCTTCACTGCGGAGAACAAATTAGTCTGTGCACTTGATAATGATGATGCTTTGCTCGGTTCTTATCCTATTGATGATGGTATGATATTACATGCAGAGGATTCAAATCTCAAACCAGATGAATACTCCGACACATCAAAAGTAGAGAAATTTGAGATATCCGATGAAGAATACAAAAAGCGGCAAGATACTGTTAGAGCTTTTAAAGAAAAAAACAAATTAGGTCGGTTTAATGAAGAAGAGATGAAAAAGAAAGAAGAAGAGCTTAAAATAAAAGAAGCAGCAGAGGAAGAGAAGGCTAAGTCTATTAAAATAGATGATCGTTGTGAAGTTCGGGTGCCAGGTCAGCCAGCAAGACGTGGAGCTGTTAAATATGTCGGAACCACAGATTTTAAGCCTGGTTATTGGGTTGGGGTTCAGTATGATGAGCCTCATGGTAAAAATAATGGAACTGTTGAGGGGAGGAAATATTTTGAATGCCCAGACAAGTATGGAGGCTTTGTCCGCCCGACTCATGTTGAAGTTGGGGATTTTCCTGAAGAAGGACTAAACTTTGATGAAGATGAAATGTGAGAGCAGTCATCAAATCAAATGTGATGAACATTCAATGTGGACTTTTTATATATTTATTAATGACTGTGTTTAATGTATGCTTAAGTGTGATGACGATGGTCACTGAATATGTATGAAAACCTAATTTATTTGTTTATGATAAATATAGTAATTTAAAACTTTACATATAATCACCAGTATAATTAGGAGCTACATAAAGTTTCACATAAGCAGTTTGAGGCTTTTATAAGGAAAAAATCCCATGCTATTTTTGTGTGGCTGATAAAAGAAAGCAGTATGAAAAGTTTTATCCAAATCAAGATGAACTTATTTTTCCTCACAGTTTAATCATATTTCTGCCTCATCGTAAACATTTACTTCAATCTACTTAATTTTTTTTATGTGTATAAGTGCTTAGAATTATATTATTGTTTATAAAAAGTCCATATTAGTATTAAACAATTTTCTATTTGGTTTAAAAAGTAATGATTTTGTTTGAAAAATTGATTCATTTTTGTGGCTGCTAATTGCTGTTTGTTATATGAATATTTATTACTATTAGTTACCTGTTTTGTCAGTGTAAAAAGAAACTACTCTGTTATTTAAAAGCTTTTGCATAACTGTTGATGTTAATTGTAGCTTATAAGTATTTTTTAAACCTAATTGAAGATAATTTGGTTATCACTTGCTACATTTCCACTCAGTCAGCTTCATGAAGTTAAATCACATTAAGATTACACTTCATATGGTTTCAGTTGTTTGTTTATTGTTTGTTTTCTCTTATACTTTCTTTGTTAAATGTTCAATTCGTTGTTATTGTTTTTTTTTTGTAATATTGAAAATAAAATTAAAAGAAAAACACTTTCTTTTAAAATCTCATTATGTTTCAATTTATTGATGTTGAAATTGAATACTTAGTCTTATATTTAAACTGAATATTAATTACAATTGATATTTTTAAATGTACCTGGTATGTTAAATTAAACATTCCAAAAAGTATAAGTTGATTTTTTCCAAAGTATTAATTAGTAAATTTATAAAGTAAAGCACAATTAGAGATCTGTTGAGCATCAAGTTCAAGGGGACTACCTTTTTAAGGCATTGTGCAGCCACCCTGTTAATTAACAATTTTGGATAATCATCCACTCTATGGTCAATCAAGAGCTTTGTTAACTAATTTGCTCTGGCTAGTAATATTTTACCCATAGCTTGACCAACCACCATGATATCTGAACTTTTGCACATGGTATATACAAAGTGATGGTATACTAATAGTAGTGTCAGTCAGTTTCACTATAGTGTCATGATTAGCATTTACAGTGTCAGATTTATTAAGCTGTTCATCTGACTTGGCTTATAGAATCAGCTCTCTTAAGCACAAAAAATGGTCCATGCAAAATTAACATCAGGGTATTTACATATACTGGAAATTTTGAATGGATCTAATTGTGTAGGATTTGATATTTACATGTGTTGCTGGATTTAAAATTTAATGCTTTGTTAATGAAACAAAGCTAAACACAGTTAAATCAAGGTCGACAAATATATGTGTTAGATCTAACATTAAGGATGAAAGCAATTTAATGACATTTTAATGTTGACTGGTAATTATTTGTCAAAAGCAAGTTTTTGAGGGTGTCATCTTTTTCCATTCATGCCTAAGACACATGTGGCAGATGAAGTAGAGTTCATCTGTTTCAATGACCTCTGCATATGAAAGGATAGTGTGGTCAGCACTATGCCCAGCCACCTTTTTTTCTTTAACACAAGTCAGGTATTCATCAGAGCTGGGTGGACGGAGGGATGTCTTTCGAATTGAGAATTATTAAGGTTTAATATCTTAAATGTTAGGCAATTGTAGCCATCTTTAGCCATCTTTATCACACCCCACATATCACCAAAAAATCTTTATCACACCCCAAAATCCTGTCACTCCCTACCTCAAAGTTGAAACAACCCCTTCTGAATAAAACATAATTCAAATGTAAACTTTTTTTTTTACTAAGCCCATTTAATTCCCAAATCCTCTGACTGTTATTATCTCACTTCCCATTGTCACACATCACAAAAAGTCAGTGTCCTAATATAAGATCGCCATGAACTTATCTTTTAGCTTTGCCACCCTCCCCCCCCCCCCCCCATTAGCCTACAGTTTTTCAAATTAACAACTCAATTGACTGAGTTGGACCAAAATTGTATATCATATATATATTTAGTTATTCAGCCCTATATATATATATACACACACACACATATATATATATATATATATATATATATATATATATATATATATATATATGGAATAAGTAGGCCCCTACATAATATACTTTTATCATAGATAGCTTTTACATTATTATAGGACAAGTAAAAATAAATAGGCTATTACTAGATCTAATATTATAATAAACTTAGGAGAAATATTTTAAAATTGCCCGTCTCCATTGGTAACACTCTAAACAAATTTCCAACAACCCAAACAAACATCGGTGAATAATTTTCTATTTATAGAACATTATTATAGTTTGTCGGCCTAGATCTACTCTAGATTAGATCTAGAATTTATTTAAGTTACGGCTGGAAAAAAATATTGTTTACTAGGGTTTAAATAACTTTAAAGTTGGAAATAAAAAATGGCAAGTATTTTTACTTAAACTTACAACAGTAGGCCGTTGACTATCTAATTCTAATCTATTGCCTGTTTGACTATTGAGTATTTGGCAAGTATTTGTGCTACTCCACCGGGCCATTGGATTTTATAAGTCTTATACAGCAATACACTTATACTTTATACTTATACACAACCATTTAAAAAAAAATTGATCTAGAATCTACTATAGATCTATAATGTTATAGTATAATCCATACAGTAAGAGGCTTAGTGTAGGGCTAATTATTATTGTATTACGTTAGGTGTGACATGGGGTCTAACTTTATTTACCTCCACCTCTCCCCTCTAATGCCCTCTAAATAAGTTTTCGTTGTACTACAGTATATCAGTATAGATCTAGATCTTAGTTATAAATATAATGTCTTAGGGGTCGTCCATAAATGACGTCACACTCGTAAAATGTCCGTAATTTTGTGACGGTGTGTGATGAGGGGGGTGGGGGGGTGGGAGGAGGGGGTTCAGATGGTGCGACGTAACACTTGCATTATAAAAAAGAAATGTTAGAAAACTTATTTCAGGCGTTATTTCGCGTTTTAGGCAACTGTTTTAATAAATTGTAATATGAATTGATTAAAATACTCTATATAGACATAGTTCAGACAAGATTTTGGAAACATATCGATGTTTTAAGAAAAATTAACTTGAAATTTTTAGGGGGGGAGGGGGGGGGGGTTGGAGGCTGAGGTGGGGGTCTGGCTTTTTGTGACGATGTGTGACGGAGGGTAGGGGGAGGTAAAAATCGTCAAAAAACTTGACGTCATTTATGGATGACCCCTTATATCACCAAACAAATCACACACTGGTCTTATTTTATTTTAATCATTAGGATGCATAAAATATTTATATATAGGCCTATAGAAATGTAAGCTACTTATATAATATATACAAATATTGTGCAGGAAGAAATATCTGTTCTGAACTTATCCAACCTGCATGAAAGTCCTCCCCCATACCATCCATCAATCATAAAGCAATGGGTACATCGTGTTAAAGGATTTTCATCACAGTATAACTCAACTAGGTAAAATTAATTACTCATTAAATATCTTTTGCTAGAAATATTTAATTTAAATTATGTTTTGTGATTTATAATTATTAATTAGTAAGTACTAAGTGTAGTTATTAAGTAAGCCTATTTGAGGTTTACTGATTTAGTCCAAAGTTGTTATCATTTTAGATATATAAATATTTTCTATTAGATTTTTGTAAAATGTTTAGTTGGAGTGCTGATCAAGTTATTGGACCACCTAAAGTGTTCCCACAATATGGTGACAATTGTGGAGCTTGGGCTCAGGGCTCAATAGACAATAAACAATTCCTTGAGGTTAGCAAAAGGTTGTATTAGTCTAATAAACTATATTGGTTGACATAAACATTTTTTTTTAAATTGTGTAATATTACCCACATTTAGATCTATATATGTATTTAGTATTTCAGGAGAAAAATTTTTACAAAGTAAATAATACCAATCCAAGAAAATCTATAAATGACCACTGCATATGGGGTATTTATTATTTAAAGACCTCAGGCACTTCTGTCCTCAGAATTAATTTATTTTTCTTGCTGGCATTATGCCTTAAGTCTGGTTCTAACAGATATACAGTTAGTAAAAAAAAAAAAACACTAACATAAGCATCAGTATTAATGGTAAGTCTATGCAAATATTATTGTTAATTATGGTACATTTTATTTTTACAGATACAGTATGAAGTTCCTGTGTTGCCGAAGTCTATAAATATATATGAAACATTAAACTCAGGAGCTGTAGTTGCTATCAAAGTGTTAAACCCAAGCAGTCAGTGGGATGTACTATGGAGAAGTAACTCCGCAGAGGTCTTGACCATCAGTCGAATTTTTTCACCATCGTTAAAGGTATTATAGTGTTTATATAATAATATGGTTTAGTTTATATTAAATAATACTTTGAAATGCACCAATATTCATTAAAAACAAAGAGTAGCATGTTTAAAAATCTGATTATCATTTATCATGTTTTATATGGACCTCTCTACTATCATCAAGCCTAGAAAGGAATTTTACTTTTTATTGTATGTTCTTGATCACACATTTTATGTTTTCTTTTTCAGGAGGTGAGATATACAACAAACACAGTAAGGCTTGAAATTGACTGTACCGCAGCAGGCAGTTGGTGCGAGATTGATGCTGTTGAATTGATTGGTCTTAGGGAGGGAGCTGGTGAGCTTTAACCCTTGACTGTTAGTCAACTGTGCCAGTTCTACTCTTAGGGTTTAGTTTGTACCTGATCTAGTGTTCCTACAAGGCTTAGAGTCTACTAAAGCCTCATCTTCTTGCTCTGTTGATTTTCTATATCTTATAGAATTTAAAAATCATTCTTAATCTCCACTTTAATTTTGAAATATGGTAGATTTTAATTAGTAAAAATTCATTTCAACTGTATTTTAAAATTATGGCGATTTATTTTTCCCTTAAAAAAAGCATTATTTTATCTTTACAGTTGCATCAGTTGATGATACCATTTTTTTTGAGGAGATGAGAGGTTTAGTCAACAATCCAGCATTTAGTGATGTGAAGCTCTTCATCAATGATGTTCCCATTTTTGCACACAAGGCCATTCTGGCAGCAAGGTCACCTTTTTTCCATCAGATGTTGGAGTCTAAATTGAGTGACACAGTAAGATCTATTCAAACTTGAAATACATTGAAGCACAATATTTGTCAGGAGTAGGTTCATTTGTAATGATATCTGTTTTAATTTCTTTCAGCTCTAAAATAGTTTCCCCTCTTTTCTTTAAAAAGTCATAGTTATAGGTTGTGTTTTAATTTTCAGCTACCTAAAATTATACACATGAAAAGCATTTTTAAAAAGTGTCATTGATATATTAAAAAATCTATTTTAAGATTTGAATTTGAAGTTAACTTTAATTATATCGTTTTTATTCTTATAATGGCTTTTATTAATTTGTTAAGCCTTTAACTTCAAAATATATTAGACTATCTAAACATTATTTGATTAAATATTATTATTTGTTAAATATAAATTTTCAGTTAAGACTTGAGCTAGATGTGCCTTTAACTGAGAGTGAAATGCTTGCTGTCATGTCATATATCTATACCAACAGAATACCACAAGATTGCACCATCGATGAGCTAATGACTTTATATAAGTGTATGAAACAGATAAACAGTTTTGTATTTGAATAAAGTTATTGACTAACATTTCACTAAGATAGTAAAGAATAGGATGAATTAGATGATATTGTAATAGGTCTACATTAGCAAATTGTAATATCATTCACTTATTATAGTCCTCTCAAAGCTTTGGTACTCTTTTTGCTTTTCATAATCTTTAATTATCTATTTAATCCCATTTTATATTAAACTGTATCCTAAAATTTGTCCTTGTGGTTTGTTTTAGGTTCTGCAGTTTTTGAACTTAAGGAGTTAAAGACAACAGCATTACATCGGTTGTTAGCAGTGCTACAGTGCGAAAATGTTGTCAATGCTTTTAAGAGAGCTGACCAAGATGACACATTAGGTAAAATCAGTTTTATCTTTAATTATTTTTATAGTTAATTAGAAGGAATATAAATATTACAGAAAAAAGTACACTATATATATATATATATAAATATATATATATATATATATATATATATATATATATATATATATATATATATATATATATATATATATATATATATATATATATATATATATATATAACATATTTCTTCCAGATGATGTAAGAAGCATATGTTTGCATTTTATGGCAGATCATATAAAAGATATGGCAAATGTTTCAGACTTTGAAACATTATCACAAAACATTTTAGTCAAAGTTTTGCAACTAGCAATGTCAAAAACAGAGTTAAATTCTAATTAGTGCTGAAGAATAATTTACTAGTTTAGATTATAGTTTTAATTAGCTTTTTCTGACAGTGAAATATGCTTATTAAAATTACATGTTATTGGTGCAATATAGACTTCTTTTATTCTTCTTGTTTTGTTTTTTTTAAAACATGTCTGTTTGGTTACATTAAAATTATAAATACTTTCCCTTTATATATATATATATATATATATATATATATATATATATATATATATATATATATATATATATATATATATATATATATATATATATATATATATATATATACATATATATATATATATATACATATATATATATATATACATATATATATATATATATATGTATATATATATATATATATATATATATATATATATACATATATATACATATACATATATATACATATATATACATATATATACATATATATACATATATATATATATATATATATATATATATATATATATATATATATATATATATATATATATATATAAAGGCATAATGGCAAACATATAGGTAATGGACAAAGTTCAATGACTTAAGTACCCTGGTGCCATACTGTCTGATGAGGAAACAAAACAAGAAATGCATAAACAACACCAACACTCAGTAAATAATAGTAAATTAAAAAGTACTCTGTGTGACAAAAAGAATTTTCTTGGAACAAATGTGTAACTCATTCAGTCATTGGTCGTGTCTGTCTTCCTGTATGGATGCGATGAATGAACCTTCAACACAGACTTCCAGAGAAGAATCCAGGCCCTGGAAAAGAGATGTCAATACAGACTCCTAGGGATCTCATAACAAATGAAGGTCTGAGAAAGGATCACTAATGCAATCAGTCGCTGAGTGTACTGAGCATTGTAAAAACAAGAGAATTTAAGATGGTATGGATATGCCACAAGAACCAACAGCCTATCCAAAAAGAATCATACTGGGCACTGTGCCAGGAGGTAGGAGAAGGGAAGGCAAAAATGTCAGTGGACGGATGACATCAAAGACTGTGTTGACATTGCAGAACTATTCAGAGCAGCAGAGGACCCAGACAGATGGCGGAAAATTATGAGTAAATTAACTGTGGTGCCCCAACACCCCCTAGGTGCGCCCACTACCCCTAGGGCAGTGGCGGATTAAGGGGGGTGCTGAAGGGGCTGCAGCCAGGGGCCCCCGAATTTTAGGGGCCCCCAAATTTTGATTTCTCAACTAAAGCAAATATTACTTTATCATTATTTTTTTAAGTATTTTTTTAATGTCAGAAGTATGAGTTAAAATTCCACCAAGTAATTAAAAAGCGTCACTTAAATAATAGTTTTATCAGTGAATGTGCCGAGACAAGCGAGATCCATCAGATACTCTCTGATCTTTAATGTTTAATTGTGCCTTATTTAACCAGCAGTCCCTCTACCGATAGAAAACGTTTTGAAAACCATTTAAAAACACATAGTGTCGAGGCTGAGGGAGGGTGGGTGTCGGGGGTATTTGTATGAGGGGTTGTTTGCGTATTGCCATAGCGTATATAGATAAAAATAAAACTAGACTGGTAGAGACTAATACGGACGGTGTAAACTTGACGGTAGACGATTTGTTTCGAGAGTATGTGTTACATGGGTGTTAAATTTGGGGAAAAACGTCCCAGTTGTAGGGAGGGTCTGACATAGCAAAGTGGATAGTTAGACATGGACCGATGTAGAAGTGTTTTTTTTTTAAGTATTGACCTTTTGACAGAGTGGCTTAAGATTTAAAAAATGCGAAACATCTCTAGTTCAAGGCACACTCTCACCTGTATTAATTGCACTATAGGAATTGCCAAAACAGGCCAAGAGAGAAGACGTCTATAAATAAAGACGTTACCGCTGTCCCGCATGGTAATACAAAACCGGATAAGACTATTGCAGGGCATGGCATCTACCCCCCCCCCCACACAAACATGTCCCCCAACTGTCTCCCCGCCCCGAAGTTTCACCCATTAAAACATTTGAGTTGTGAATTCCTTGGAATTTAGCCGTAGTCAATGTTTTCGTCTGGATAAGTAAAAAATATTTTTAGGGGGGAGGCTCCGGTAAAAAAACTTTTTTAATACTCATTAGAAAACAGTTATTTCTTTACAGCTTTATTGAAATACATCCGCATATGCATTTCCACTAAAAAAATTGGTGGAAAAATCTTAGTAACTATGACAACGGCTGCCATCTTGAAAAATTAACCCCCTCAGGTTTTCCACCATTCACAAAATATTATATTTTATGCCCAATAAATAATGAATTCATAATATTCTTCCATATTGTGGGGTACTCAGCTAACAATTTTAAGTGTATATCTTCAAAATAAATTATTATTAATAGATACAAGTGCATTTAGAGCTTTCCAAATGTGCACATTGCTCTTCGAATTAACTGTGCATGATGACGTCTAACTGCAGCGGAGGGCCTAGTTTCCAAAATAAAAAAGATTAAACGCGATCTAAGAAGCACTATGGGACAGAAGAGACTTAGTATGCTCTCACTTATGAGCATAAAAAATGACATTGTAAGCTCACTAGATTATACAGAAATAATAGAACAGTTTGCTATCAGGAAGGCTCGAAAATGTTCCCTATAAAATTAAAAATATAAAAGTTACTTGGTCTTTAGTTCTGTTAACCTTTAGTTTATTCCATTCGACCTTTATTTCTGGGAAGAAGCCCCTGTTTTGTGATGTCATTATATAAACTACATATATATATATATATATATATATATATATATATATATATATATATATATATATATATATATATATATATATATATATATATATATGTAACGAGTCCCCGAGTCTATCCTGCCGACAACGCCAAATGTAACGAGTCTCTGGCTACCCTGCCGACAACGCCAAATGTGACCTTCCCGAGTCTAACCACTCATTCCACACAACATTGACCACAGCATAGATACTCGAAGATGCAGGTTCATTATTGATCCTTTTATTACATGAATCAAAGAATGCTTCACAATAATATAATGAATCAAGAGAGATGTTTCACAATAATAGTCTGAATCAACGGACCCCCAACAGTCCTCACTAGGCTTCATCTAACTGAATACACATGTCTAACGTCCTTCTTAACACAATACGGCTAACCCGTTCAATAACCAACTGCCACACTGACTCACTGATCGAAAGCGAGCGAGAGAGAGAGAGAGAGAGACTGCGAGCTCAGCCGTCGCCTTCCTTATTTATCCCCTTCATATCCGTAATCATATTCGGTCCTATCATACTCGTAATCGTAATCGTTGCATTACGCCGCTTCTGTTGTACAGTCCGATTTAATAAGCCATCTGCATCCTGTCACATCAAAGTTGACAGACCGTCTTTCGTATCGCTTCCCGAGATACTACGCCCTGGCTTTCTGATCGTTATCAGCCACCACCTGTGTTATTACATCAGTCGTGTCAAAGTTGACAGCGCTGTACCGCTTTCTTATGTCTGGTAACTTCCCCTAGTTACATCCACCCCTGCCTTTTTTTGTGTGTTATCAACCACAAACAACGCCCGGCAGGTGCAGTCCTTCAAAGTCCATCGCACCACCGTAAAAAAAAATCCATTGTTCCACTCACTGTCAATGTCGTCACATTCGTATAAGATTGACCGTTATCCCTATTTCACATATCAAATGTGTCTACATCATCTTCCTCAGACACAAAACAGTTCTAGAATTCACATCCACCTTTTTTCGTCTGGTGCCTTCACCAGTTCACTTTTATGACTTTTTGAACAGTCTGTTCTCATACCAGCGCGACCATGAAAGAATTGATGGTTGCTGACAAAAAATTTCGTATTCTTTCTGTTTCTCAAACTTCTCCGCGGACCACTTAACTGATGGTCTACTGTCTCTCTGCTTTTGGAGGGACCGGGATCCTCCTTGTTGCCGGTATCCTCCCCTTGTGTATCGCTGTTGCGCTGTTGATGGTGACATGGTTCCGGGATGGGTATGTGAATTTCCGTTATAATTTCCGGTTCCCTAATTGTCTTGGATTTCCTTGTGTGTAACTGCTCTTCTTGACTATGACAATATTTCTTTAATTGAGCAATATTCGCCCACCGATCCGGTTTGGTGTGATCGATGGGTCTTATCTTAAAGGGGCCACCTGCTACTTTAGGCATCTCCACGACTTGCCATATCTCCTGTCCCCAGAGGTCGTGGATTTTGTTTCTGCCTACGGGTGGCTACGCAGTAATACCCTGTCGTTCAGTTTGAGTGGCGGGTCCTTTGTCTGTACCGGCGGTTCCCTTCGCCGTGCTTCATGTTCTAGTCTTTCCTGTACTACCCTGTACATTTCTCTAATTCGTCTCATATGTTCATTCACATATTCCAGTGCAGTGTATGAGCCAGTCATACTCTCCTTTTTTCCTAGGAACAAGTCAAGAGGGAGTCGAGCCTCCCGTCCGAACAGCAACATGTATGGCGAAAAGCCGGTTGTGGCATGGGGTGTGCAGTTGTATAGATATACCAACTCTGGGAGAAAATCAGGCCAACGTTTTTTCTGTTCAGGTTCTAGAGTACGCAGCAAATCATGCATGCTGCGGTTGAACCGCTCGCACTGTCCGTTTCCTTTCGGATTAAATGTGGTTGTTCTAGATTTGTTGATCCCGTAGTGGCTGCACAGTTGGTTAATTACTTCTGACTCGAAGGCCCTTCCTTGGTCAGAGTGTAATTGTCTTGGTATGCCATATTTGATGAACCAATGTTCTATTAAGACCTTTGCCACTGTTTTGGCAGTCTGATCTCGTGTGGGCACCGCCACAGTCCATTTGGTGAAAACATCAGTCATTACCAACACATGTTCCGTCCCATCCGATGATTGCTCCAACGACGTAAAGTCCATAGCCACAATCTCTAGTGGTTTTGTCGCTAATAGGTGTCCCGATGGCTGTCTCATTTTGACAACTGGCATTTTCGCATGCTGACACCTCACACAAGCCTCACAATGGCGTTTGACCTCCATTTCCATATTGGGCCAGTAACACCTCCGTCGTAATATTTTGTGCGTCCTGTCGTGACCCTGGTGTCCTGCCCTGTCATGTGCCAACCTTAGCACTTCTT